GGGGGTCCCGGGGGATAATCCCGGGGGATCCCGTGGGGATTTGGGGGTCCCGTGAGGGGAAGGGGAGTGGGGGGGGCGCGAACCGGCACGTGCCCCAGCGGCAGCGGCGCGCGCCGCCATTGGCTGAGGCGGCGGCCAATCAGCGGGCGCGCCTGTTTTGCCTCGGAGGGCGGATAAAAAGCCCGGGTGGGACCTGGCGGAGCGGAGCGGGCGCGGCACCGGCGGTGAGCGGGGGGCACCGGGAATACCGGGGGGCACCGGGAATACCGGGAGGCACCGGGAATACCGGGAGCTGCCCGAGCGCCTGGGGGTTTGCGTGGGACAGGGGTGGTGGGGAGGGTGGGGGGCATCGGGGGATTTAGGTGTAGGAGTGGCCAGCGGCGGAGGGAGCGCGGATGGAGAGGGGAGCGTGGGTGGGGGGCTGGATGGCGAGGAGGGAGGGGGATGCTGCGGGGCTCTTTGGGGGATGCTTTGGGGGATGCTGCGGGGCTCTTCGGGGGTGTGGGATGCTGCGGGGGTGATGGGAGGGTGGGCTGTGCTGGGGGCCGCTGAGGGGCGGCTGGCAGGGGGGACAGCGGGCTGCGGCTCTTGTCGCAGAGAGGATGGCTGGGCTGGGCAAGGATACCGGGGCTGGGGAGGGGGCTGTGCAGGGATGAGGAAGAGGAGGTGATGGAGGAAATGCGTTGTGGGCTGTGCTGGGGCAGCGGGCCTGCGCTGTGGGTGGGGGTGGGCACGGCTGTAGGGGGCTCTGAACCGGTTTCTGTGGCTGGGAGGGGCCCTGACCCCCAGGCATCACTGCTGGGTCAGACCCCCGTCCTGCCAAAGCACTCGGTGCTGGGGTCTCTGCAGTAAGGGAAGCTGCCCTGGCTAGCTGTGTGGCCAGCTGCTTTCCCCACAGCACAGCCTGAGGTGTGCCTGGGCAGGGAAAAGCCTCAGCTTGGCTCAAAAGGGTTACCTGCCTTGTGACACTCGGGGCTCCCCAGGGTCAGGTTGTCCCCTTGGCCAGGTGTGTTCCCCAGTTTTCCTGCTGTCATGGGCCCCTGGGGCTGGGACAAGTGGAGCTGGACGCAGTTAGTGCAGCTCCAGCATCTGGGGCAGCCTGGAGATGCCACTGAGCTGCGGTGTCCCTCAGCTGCTTGGTCTGGCAGGCAGCAAAAAGTGCTCCTTGGTGAGCCATTGTTGGTATAAACTGCATTTATAAAACCCTCACACCCCTTCTTGTTCTCCTGGTGGGTCCCTGAAGCCACCTCTGGGATGTGGGGCTGTGTCCCCCATCCCAGCCCTGCCTGATGGCAGTGGGGACATCAGGGTGCTGGCTGCAGCCCCCCTGCCCTGGCATTTATTCCCCAGTGGGCTCCAGGCTGTTTGCTACGTTTTCATACCTGGTGCTCAGGAAGTGGAACAGAGTCCTTGAGCAGAGCCCTGTGTCACTCAGAGTGAGCACCCCAGGGGCTCTTCCAAGGGCACTGTGCCACCCCCATCCCTCCAGGTCACTTGGTGAGCTGGCACCTGCAAAAACCAGTTCTGCACAGTGCCTGGCATCCAGCAGGCAGCTTTGCCTGGCTGCTTAGTGGGGAGATCCATTAAACCACAGGGTTTTTTAATGCTTTTTGAGCAGCGTGTGGACTCACTGGGTGTTGCTCCCTGCAGGTTGAGGCTCTGAAGGAGGCCATCCCCCCCAGGCAGCCATGGCCCCCACGCTGGCCACGGCGCACCGGCGGCGCTGGTGGATGGCGTTCACAGCCATCATCGAGAACCTGCTCTTCTCTGCCGTCCTGCTGGGCTGGGGGTCCCTGCTCATCATGCTCAAGGCAGAAGGGTTTTATTCCTACCTGTGCTACGGGTTAGGTAAGCACGCTCCGGGCTCCTCTGGGGATGAGCTGCTGCTGAGGTTTGCTGCTGTGGTTCCCTGCTGCAGCGTGGTGTGGAAGTGGTTGGAGGAGGGCTGAGCTCCACGTGGATCCCAGGAGAGAAGGAAGGGATTTGTGCTCCTTTCTGAAGCCAGTGGCATCCTTGTGATGGAGTAGTGTGTCTGTAGGTGCTGTTGTGTTGTAGGGTGGTTGGGAAAAGGTGCTTTAATGATGGGGTAGAGTTTTCTGGATGGCCTTCTCTATTTGGCCGAGTTCTTCCTCTGCAAGGGAAGGCTGGATGGGTTCTGGAGGATGATGATTTCTGGGAGGGCTGTCCTGGGTTTATAAGAGGAACTTTGTCCTTAGTGGTGAGAAAACAAGGAGGCAATAATATCGGGGCAGTCCAGTGCTGCTGTTGAGGAGAATTTGCAGAATTAAATACTACTGATTGTTCCTTCTTCAAGCACCCAGGATGTGCTCCAATCAGGCTGTGTTTCTCTGAGGGCTTGAGATTTACCCTCTGCCCCAGTCAGAAGTGTCTGTCACTGTTAGAGACACAGCCTGGAAGGGGAGAGATAAATCTGTGGTGTGGGAATGGTAGTCCTGGGAAAACAGCCTGGAGCTGGACATCTATCCCCAGCCTGGGCATGGAGAGAATTGTGCATCCCACAGTGTGTTTGGGTGGTCAGTGGGGTTAAAAAGGAACCCGAGGGTAAAGGTGTGGTGTGGATTTGGAAAGCTGCTGTGGTGGCTGAGGGTTTGCATGTGCTGAGGGAAGGGAAAAGTGAAGTTTGGGCTCTGTCCAGAGCTGTGTGATGGAGACTGAGACTGGATCAGCCCATTTGGGTCTGGTAGAGGAAGCAGCTTGTGAAGAGAGTTGGAAATCAGTCCGTGGACCCTCAGTTGAGTAATGGTTGAGAACAGTGGGGGAAAACTGAGGTGTGGGGAAACAAAGTCCAGACAAAGGTACCTGTGAATGATGTGATGATTCTTTGGGTTTTGCTCATTCATCAGCTGCTTATCTCCCCTGCTTTGTGTACCAGGGCCTGGGTGGGTGCACTTGGCAAACATGCAGTGTTTGAGTCTTTTATCAGCTACAGCTTGGCAGCTCCATCTCCATCCTGTGCTCTGCTCCCAGGGCAGTGCTCCCAAACGTGTCCCTGTCACTCCTGTGTGTGAGGGAGACTCCCAGTGCCTGGAGACCCTGCAGGACTTCTGTTCAAGGCTGCTGTGTTCTCTCCACATCACGGAGACTTTGTCACAGCCAAGAGATCACATTAGACCCATCAGGTGGAGACTTTCTGCCACCCAGATAAAGCACAGAGGAGCTGATAAGCAACTGCTGACTGTCTCTTGGAGCAGGCATTTGCTTGTCTGCTTCCCGAGATGTGCTCTGCTGACAAGAACTTCACTTGGGGCCCACCTCGTGCTCTTTGCCTTGGCTGCTTTCAGTTTGGCCCAGATCAGTGAGGTTCACCTGGGTTTCTCACTCCTGCTCACCAATCTGTGGCTTTTCTGGCTCTCCCCATGGGAGTGCCAATGCCCACAGACCACAGGGAAGATGCAAATGTTTGGATTGCCGTGGAATTGCTGCCCTGGGGGCAACTGCTCTCTCCCAGTGGCCAACCTGTGCCCTGAGGCAAGAAAGCTTAATCCCTGAGCAGAAATTTGTGCAGTCAAATGTTCTCATTGTCCTCAAATATCTGGCCATCACTTCTGAATTGTGATGAGCTGTGCTGACTCACTTTCTCTGGTTTTGTCCTCACTGTAAGAGTTTTGTGGGGAAGACTCCTGGCTCCAAGTGTGTGGAGGCTCTCAATGACCAGCCCTAAACTGAGTTTTCCCTTTGAGTGTTCCCTGGCATTAGGGTGACCCAATGATTGCCTTTTTCAGTGTAACTTATTGAATCCTGCAGCCAACTTGGCTGGAAGGCTGGTGCAAACAAATCATGACTAGTAGCCTTTGGGCACTTGTTGTTCCTATTGCTGCTGAGGGCATGTAAGTATTGCAAAGGAAAAGAAAAATAGAATTTTCCTAATGAGCCAAAAGTTCTTGGCAGGGCTTTTGGTGTGTCAGCATAAGCTCTTGCACTTTGTGATGCTTTCCAATGAAAGGCAAAATTAGACCTTGTCCCTTCTGCAGGCTCTTCTCTGAAGGTAACAGCAGCTGTCCAGAAAGTGCTGCAGTTCATGAAGGACTCCTTGTCTCCCTGTTGAATCCCTTGCTTGCCCTTGGCTCCTCGTGTTGGGTTTTACTCAGCCATTGTACGAATGTGGGGTGCAATGGACTCTTAACTCAGTAACATGAGTGTGGAGATGGACACCTTGGGGGAAAAAAATCTGAAATAACAAAATATTTTAGAGCAGTTGTGCAACAGGGCTGGAGTGGGGGGTTGTACCCGTTGGGCCACCTCCTGAGGTATGTTTGAAATTCGCTGACAAGGAGCCTGGTAGTAGCACTTTGTTCCCATTTTAATTTTACTACACTACTACTTGGCCTTTAACCAACTGAAGCAGCATCTTTTATTCGGTGCAAGTGCTGACTCCACAGTCTTTATCACCGTTCTGGGCCTTATCAGCTCTTGGGGAATTTGATCAGTCCAGGGCCTTGCCTTGCTATGATGTTTCTGGGATTGGGAAGCTGAATGCTTGGGTCTGAAACATGCTTGTAAAAAGAAAAAAGTCCTGAACTTGATAATCTGCTCACAAAGAGCAGAGATAAGGGGCACAGAGGGCTTTCCTCTAAGACAGGGCTGAAGAATACTAAAGGGATGATAAGCTAATTCACTTACAGTGAGTTAAGGAGCCCTGACGTGGTCAAAGGAGGAAGGTGCTGCCTTACAACTCCTTTCCCATATTTATCTGAGCTCTGGGTGGGGAACTTGCAGTCTGAAGGTCCCTCACAATCTGGGCAGATATGACAGCTAGGATTTGTGGAAGGGCTGCACGTGTGAGGCTGTAAACAGGAAAAGAGTAAAGGTGGTAAATATTCAATTTGTACAGGAAACACACTGTGCTGATCAGCAGCTGTCGTGGGAAGGTGCTGGCTGAGAGCAGCTGCCAAACGAAACCGCAGCTGGGGAGAGAAGGGGAGTTTCACTGGGACTGTGCCTTGGTCATATGAAGCTTTCAGGCACCCAGAGAAGGGGTCCTGGAAGGGCAGGGAAACCCGAATGAGTTGCTTTTGCAGTGGTACAAAGCAAGAACATCTCCTCCCAGTTCCCAGAAGTATGACACCATCCTAAAAAGAGAAAACATGTTCTTATGTGGGCAGACTGCAGAATCAGTTGTTTGCACATGTCTTTCAGTGTGCTATTTTTTAAACCAATACTCCCAGTTCTTTGCCCTTGATTTCTGTCTTTTTTTTCCCCCCCTTTTTTATTTTTTTTTTCTTCTTCTATAAAAAAAAGAGAGGAGGAAGATGAGGGTGTGCAGGCTGTGACAGAGCTATTGTCAGAGTGGCTGGGGGTGTCTTCCTGTTTGACTCAGTCTGATCCATGAAATAAGATGAAAGGAAAGCTGCTCTCTGCCATCTGAGATGGCAGTCACTCCTGGAAAAGCCAGACTCGTTCCTCTGGTAATGTGATGTGTGTGTGCCTGGGATTTGAAGAGGTCAGTAAAGAGCAGTTAATGATTGACCTGCTTCATGGAGAAAGGATGGCTTTGAATGTTCCAGCCTGAACAAATCCCAGCGATGATCTTGACATAAATGATTACCCAGGCAGCTTTCTCCTTACCTAAGCTGTCATTCTTTAAATAGTAACTTGAACTACTAATTGGGCAGTAGAAATCCTGCTGCTTGTGTGGGGAGTGCTGTAAAAATAGGCAGCAATGTTCCTGTAATTGCTGGTAAAGACTTGTAGCTTCTGCTGGCTTGTCAGTGAGGCAGCAGTGAGTGAGCACAGCCTCTGTGCTGCTGCCCTGCCCGGGTGTGACACCTCGAGTGCTGCATGCAGGTGGACTTGGCAAGAGGATCTGGGGAGGGCACCACCTTGGGCACAGAGCCAGTCCTTCCCCAGAGCAGTTTTCCAGATGGAGCCAGGCACGTAGGAGATTATCCTGGGAGCGTGGCACGCACCGATCTGGAGCAGGATCTGAGCAGTGATTGAGGGGAAGCTGCTGTTTGCTGTAACCACCAGGTGCATTAGGTAGGTGAGTAGTTAGGCAGGTTCTCTGCCCACTGAACCCCTCCTAGCTGCATGTCCTGTGCTGCCACTCGCTGTCCTGTGCCAATGAGCTGCTGGCACGTGAATCCGTGCTCGTGGATGAGACTGCTCTTGGCTGGACCTTGTGCCTGCAGCACACACCTGCAGCCCTTCCAAAATGTTCTATTTATGGAGGTGGCTCAAAGGATCAGGGGATGTCAGGGTGCCAAGGGCTGCTGGAATCATTTCCATTACGCCTCAGTGGATCTTCTCTTGTTGCTCAGGGGCTGCTTCTATTTTCACAAACAATTTGTATTTCCACATAGCGCTGTTGCCTGGCCCCTCCTTGGAGCTGGCACCCAGCAGCTGTAAACAAGGTGATTGGTACAGGCAGGGAGTGAAGTTTGGTGTCCTATTCCCAGCCTTCTAGTGTTCACAGAGAGGCAAATTTCTTTGCTGTGTCCTCACCTCATGCACACTCGTCATGGGAGGCCAGCAGGTGTGTGCTGTGTGAGCTCCTTGGGGACACGCAGCAGTGAGCACATCAAAACATGAACAGGAATTCCTATTCTCCAGCTTTAAAGCTTTAAAGGCTGAGTATTTTTGTTTGTGGATCTCTTTGTGGGGAGGGTTACTGAGGCTTTAACACGTGCAGAAGTTATAAGGTCATTGCACTGTTCGTGTCCCTCCACCCTTCTTCCACTCATCAGCTGAGCTATCTCTGGAGAGTGCTGACACAGGGAAATTGCTACTACTTTGTCAATTCCTCCCCCCTCCTCCTTGTTTTTCCGAGTTTCACCTCTCACCCACATCTGTTTCCTATGAATTTATCTTTGTGGAGAGCCCAAAAGCCTTGATGCTGTGGGTGAAAACAGCGGAGAGCCTCCCAAAGTCTGTCCAGGACTGATTTCTAAGGATGTGACTCGGGTGCCTCAGGCTGAAGTGCTGTCCTCAGTGCAGAAGAGGTGCTGCTGGTGACACGTGTGACATTTTGGGGATATTTGTTGCTTACTGTGGCTATCCATGACTAACAGGACAAGAGAAGGGGCAGATTAAGTTATCAGTCAGGAGCACATGGCAGTGGAAAGGAACACAGGCAGTTTGAAACAATCTTTGCAAAGATGCTGATGGGAGCAATGTAAATGGGGAGAAATGCCCCAGCCTTCCCTGGAGTGCTGGGAGGGACCAGAGGCAGCTCCAAGGCCTCAGATATCAGTGCCTGAATTCCTGCTGATACCTGATGGCAGGAAGGTGGAGCGAGGTTTGTTTGCAGTGGACACAAAGCTGGGAGGGTGGTTTTGGGCAGCTGGGAGAGCCAGGGTGAAACCAGTAACTGTAGAGGGGCTGGGGTTTGAGTAGAAGGGAGGGAGGAGCACGGTGGGGCTGTGCCACCTCCAGAGATAACACGGAGCAGCCATGGGGATCTCCCCCACCAGTCACAGCGAGCAGTGAGTGAGAAGCCACTTGCACATGAGGGATTCCTGCTAATTAACTAAACCAGCCAGGGCTCGCTGGGAATCTCCAGCCTTGCTTCATGCTGGTGGTTGTGTCGGTGGCTTCTCTCTGTTCCTCCTTTAGTACTGAACTTTGTCAGATCAGTTATTAAATAAGGACAGTGTTTTATATCACTGGCTTGCAGCTGCACCAGGAGAGCAAGTGCTTTGTCATAGCAGCAAAGGTTCCAGATAAGTGCTGGGAGGAGGAGAGCTGGAGTGCACTGGGGCTGTGAGTTAATGGAAGTCTGAAGGCACACAACTCAGTCGAGGAGTTGTAAGCATCCTTGGGATAGGCATGTAACAGGAGAAGGGTTGACATGAGGCAGTAAAAAGGAACTTCTTTCCTTTCTTTTCTTTTTTTTTGAACTGTCCTGTTTCTGTCTTAGTTACACAACGTGGGCTCTGTTCAGCGTGGGAGTTTGCATGCAGAGTTCCTCATGTAAGGGCAAGAACAGAAAGCTGGGGATATAATTGATCTGTGTGACCTAAACCCATTTTGAAAGAATAGAAAATGCTAATTACAGGGTAGGACTTAAAGATGCATCAATCCTTTAAGAAAACAGAGAAGACAGGTGAGCTGCCAGCCCCCCTGGGAACAGGGTAGTTAAATCCAGGAAGGATTTTTCAGAGCCAGGGCAGTCAAAGCAGGGTGTCTGCTGCAAAGCCATTCTTCATCCTGATGCCTGCAGTGAGGGTAGGAAGCTTTTCATTTGAGCAGGCTGCTGCCAGTGCCAGGCCTTGTCAGCCTGGTGTCTGCAACCAAAATAACTGATTTGGCTGTAGCTGTCGTTAGTTTTGTTAGGGAAAAGATCTCTGAGAACATGACAGCTGTAGATTAGGAGGACCTTATTTTTGTATTCCTTTGGGTTTGGCTGGGTTTAGTCTCCTGTGAGGCTGTTGCTGTATAGTTGTTTTAATAAATTAATGACTCTCCATCCCTAGGTTTTTACCCTGCTGCTACATGGGATAACTGTCTCCTGGGTGCTTTTTCCTGCTCCAAGCAGAGCTCATCAGCTTTCCCTCATCCTTCAGCTGCACTGCTTCTCCGTTTCCCACTGATTAGAATAAAAACTGGACTGTGGAGGGCATATTCCCAGCAGGGCTTTTCCCTTCCCTCCTTCCTGTAGCATTTTAAATCTCATCCTAACTCACTGTCCTCTCTCACCCCGTGCAGAGACCACCACCAACAGCTCTGAGCTCGACAACAGCACAGCTTCAGAGCACAAGTGGCCTTCCTGCAACGCCCAGGATGAAATGCTGAACTTGGCCTTCACCATTGGCTCCTTCCTGCTCAGTGCCATCACCCTGCCCCTGGGAATTGTCATGGACAAGTACGGCCCCCGCAAGCTGCGGCTGCTGGGCAGGTGGGTGTGCAGGGCTCCAGGGGGGCTGAGGGCTCAGTCCCCACCCTGTCTGGCTGTTGTGGGCTCCCTGCAGCCTTGGGAAGAGTCTGAGGGATGGGGCTGGGATCTGCACAGGACAGCAGAGCAGCTCTGGGGTGATTTCAGCCAGCACAGTGAATTGCTCCATAAGGGAAGGGCCTGGAACTCCATGTCCACACTTCAGCTCTCCAGTGCTGCTCTGTGATCCCTGTCCAGATGGAGCCTTGAGGAAGAGTGGAGTCATTTGTGAGTCAGGGAGGGTAGCTTTCTCCTTGGGCTGGGAGCTATGTCCTGAGAGGCACAAAACCAAGATGTTACATCATTGTTTGCAGGCTGGGGAGTTAGCTCAGGGATAAACATGTCCTGTTGCCTTTCCCAGGGCCCTTCTCTTCCATGTAGTGTGTGTTGCTTTCTGCCTCAAACAGCAAGGTTGTCAACTGCTTCTGGCATGGGACATGGGGATTAGTGACTTCTGAGATGAGTGGACCCCAGTACTGTTTTAGCTGTCACAATTTTAATGCAGTGAACTTGTTTAGAAACCAAACTGGCCTGTGGGCAGAGTGGGAAAAACAGGGCAAGTCTCTGAGTCAGACCCTACCAGAGAGGAGTTGAGTGCTGGAGCTCAGGACAAAGGCTGCTGCTGCTGCTGCTGCCTTTGGTCACCCTGAGGTGAGGGCTGGAACAACTCTGTGCTGGAAAACCAGTGGGAATTTGTGTGCAGACAGAGCTGCGTCAATGCTGGGAGGAAACGTTCTTGCCCCAGCCTTTGTGCAAGGCTTGCCTGTAATACTTGTTTGCCAGTAATATTTGGGTATTTCCCTGGATTTTTCTTTCCAAATTGCCAGCTTCCCTCCCTCTTGCAACAAGTGCCCTGGGAGGTGCTGAGTAGGTGGAAGCAGCTGTAATTTACTGTGGGTAAGGCTGTTTGTGAGAAACTGATGGCTCTGGTTCCCTTTCAGTGCCTGCTTTGCCGTGTCCTGTGTGCTGATTGCGTACGGTGCCAGTAACCCAGACTGTAAGTTGGCATCTTTCTGCTGGGCTGGGAGCGTTTCAGGGCTCTGCTTTGGGGTTTTTGGGGAAGCAAAGTTCAAACTGTCACCCTCCCAGTGCTGTGCTGGGGTCTTGCTGGGGACACAAACCAAGCAATCTGCCAGGCTGAAGGAGCCAAGTGGCTCTGGGAAGGGCTGGTGTTTCACAACACCAAGTGGAGAGTGTAGCAAGGGCCAGACGTCTGAGATAGCCAAGGGCCAGGTCCTGTAAAGAAACAATTCCAAACGAGTTCCTGGCTTTTTCAGGGTTGGGAAATAGGTAATAGCACACAATGTGTAATTGGCTTTTTTAGCAGAGGTAGATGGAGCTTGCTGCTCAAGAGCAGATAGTGAGATGACCCTTTGGATTGTTTGTTCAAGTAAATCTTCCTTTTGAGACCCACCAGACAAACTGCATCAGCAAGTCTGTGCATTAGAGAAAAGGAACCCTTCCATCCCATCCTGAGCTGCCTTGGAGAGCCCTGTCCCTGCCAGTCTGTGTGGCTGGGGAGATGGGTGCTGGGTCAGGAACAGCGTGACATGTCCTGCGGGTGTTGATCCACATGTAGGAACAATGCCTTTAGGGCTCTGTCTCCTTTCCCTCTGTACCCCAGTGGGAGCTGAGGGCAGGTTTCTTATTGTTGCAGCTCTGTCTGTGCTGATATTCATTGCCCTGGCTCTGAATGGCTTTGGTGGGATGTGCATGACCTTCACATCGCTCACGGTAAGTGAAGAGTTACTACCTGAGTGCTTTCTTCCTCACTGTGGCTGTGAGCTGGGCTGGCAGGCAGGAACAAAGTGGATCTTCTGCCTGTGGCTTGAATAGCACGTGTTTGTGTTTGGTACAAAGAGTCAGTCACCCTTGGGAGTGAGTCCTTGGTTGTTATTCTAAAGCTTGTTTTCCCCAATTGTTTTGTTTTTTTTTTTACCTGCCCTTTGTATCTCAGGTGAAGGTGGGGGAAAAAAAAAGGAAGTGTTCTTGTCTAGGGCTCATAATGTGCCTGTACATGCAGTGCTCAGCTACTTGGCACAGGCTGGTCGTGTGTTTGCACTGGATTTAGCATTGGCATAATGCAGGAAGAATAAGCAGGGCACAAACCCTTGCAGCTGGGTATGACCAGCTTTCTGCAAGCATGGTTTGCATCTTGCCCCCGTGGTTCTTCTTGATCACAAGAGCTTTTGCTTTTCAGAAGGGTGAGAGTCCCTCACAGGCTTCCTTAAAAATGCTGTGTTGTTGGGTGTGCACAGCCCACTTGGATACGTTCAGGATTGTATGGAAAGCTTTGGTCAACAGCTGTCAGCTGGATCTCTGTGTTTTGGGGTTCTTTCTGCCTGGAGGCAGAAGCAGTATCATTCTCCAAATAACTGCTTTATTTTCTGCCTCATTACCCTGATTGTTGTCAATGTGGCTCAAGCAGGGCTTGGGTGGAAAGTCGCCCAGAAAACAAGCCTGGGAAGCACTGATTTTTAAATTTTTTTTTCCCTGAGCTGTAGTTGAAAACTTTCAGATTTGGACTGCACTACCTTGAACTTGCTGTTGGAGTAAAACTTCCTGCTAAAGTTACCTCTAATTTAACAGGGCTTAGACACTGGCTGAGGTCCTGAGACATAAATTTGGCAGGGGTTGGCTTTAGAGAGCATTCTGTACTGTGGTTTTGCTGCTGCTGATGCTTTCATATATTCAAAGCTTTCAGAACTCTTGTGCACGTGTTGCTGTCTCCTTCATATGTGGTGTTCTTCACTTGAAACCTTGGCTGTGACCCCAGGGAGCTGTGGGGCAGATGTCATCCTGCTTCAAACAAGAGCAAGGAATAGAGGAGCATGTCAGTAGTGCTGTGGGAGAGGAGAGGATTCCCATCCTGCTGCTGCCAGCATTGATTATTGTCTCTCTGGGTGATTATTAAGGGGTCACAGATTGTTTTAGAACCGCTGGTGATGATAGGAGTGAGGGCAGGAATAGATTGGGTGTGCTGTGGCTTTCAGCAGCAGAAGTAAGCAAAGCCACTTGTTAGTGCCCTCATTAGTGAGCCAGTTCTGCAGTGCCAAGGAAGAGCAGCAGCAGGAGGAAGGTCAGCTCTTCCAAGAGGAGATCCAAGCCTTGGGGAGCTCTGAAGGAGGCATTGATGTTGTGAGGCCACACAGATGCTTCAGGTGGAGCCCATCCCCTCAGTGTGTTCTGCAAAGAGCTGGGGTGGCTTCAGGCCTGACTTCTCCAATCCACAGGCAGGTGTAGCTGCTTGTGCAGCTGCACAGAGGCATTTTAGTACCTGAGGCGTGTGAATGTAATTAAAAATAGCCTGAAGTGGGAGGGAAGCACTTCTTCACCTGCACCACGGCGTAGCTGTGCTGCTGCCTGTTAGAACCAGCTGTGTGTTGGTTGTTGGCAGCTTACAGCTGTATCATTCTGCCTGCAAGCTGCACTTGGTGTGTCAAGAGCCATCTTCTGCTGTCACAGGGTGATGCCTTTGTGGATTCCTTCCAGCTGTGGCCCCTGGGGACAGGCGAGGGAGGGACGCAGGGACAAGCTCACGGGCTGAACGTGCTGTGCTCCGCCTTGTGCTGCTGAACGCTGAAAGGGACACTCAAAAGACCTTTGTAAGGACCTTCATTACCGAGGAGACATGAATCCTGCTGGTCCCAGTGCCAGGGGAGCTCGGTCTGGCTGTCACAGGCGCTGGCTGCGTGCACAAGTCACAGCAAGGTGACTCCCTGCTCCTGCCAGCTGCAGGTGACCCGGGGTGCTCCAGGAAGTGGGTCAGACCCACTGGAGCCGTGGTCCTCGGCCACCTCAGGTGGGTTTTGGTTGCTGCTTTGTGGCAGGGTGTCCCCGAGACCCGGCTTGTGGGGTGTCAGGTGTTGACACCTCCCGGGCCGTGGTGCGATCTGGTGGCAGGGACCCTCAGACAGGGATAAACAGGATCTCCGAGGATTAGAGCCTGGGACAGCGCTCCACAAAGCTTTGCCTCTTGAGTTTAAAGCCTTTTCCAGCAACAAGTCCCCAGGGTATCATGAAAACACATGGCAAGCTGTGGAGCCAAAACAAGCTGCTGCTCCTGGGTGCCTGGCCTGTGGCTTAGGGAGGAGGGGGCAGCCAGCAAATGCTTCCCAGTTCTGGGAACAAGGTCAGGCTGTGCCTGTTGTTAAAATGCAGAGGGGAGAATTCTGCCTCGTGACTTGGTCTTGGCCAATATAAGTGAAGATTGGAAATGGAAACAGATCTGTGCTGGTGGCTCTGACAGCAACACAGGAATCTGGCGCTGGTTCTGCTCCGAAGCTATTTCATGCAAAGAAATAAACATGTGTGATAAATTACCACAAAGAGCCTTTTATAGATTGTTCTCTGTCCTGTTTTCCTTTCAAAGAATTACAGCTGCTTTGCTCTGATTTTCTGCTGCAAACAGCCCCCGTTAATCAGAGAGGGGGGGACATCTCTGTGTAGAAAATCTTTTTTTCTTGGAGATATTAGGAAAACTCAGGGCTCTGTGAGCTTTTGTTTGTTGAGAATGGGAACAGGAGTTTCCATATGCTTTGGGCAAAGGGTGCAGTTTGAGGCTTTTCTGCAGAACTTATTTTTCGTGTCTGTGTAACTCCCAAATACACCCCCAATAGGGAAAACAAAGTTTAACTGAACAAAAATACCATTTTTCAGTAGTCTGGTTCTCAATGCCTTGGTTTTTTTCTACTGTTCTTTCAAACAGTCCTTGCAAGAGTAGGGAAACAGGCTTTGGTAGCAATGCCGTGCTGTCTTCTGTATATGGAATGTCTCCAGGCAAAAGCTGGAAAACAATATAAATTATTATAAACTCACTGTAGGGCAGATGAGGAAAAAAATCTGCAAGAGGAAATGATTTATCAGTTTAGGATTACAGACCTGCAATAAAAGACTCCAGTAAAAAACAGTTATGTGTGGCAACATTCACCGAGTGTCTTTGTGACAGGGCATAAAGTTAATATTGCATTGAATGTTAGTGACCTTTAAACAAGAGGCTTAAGAGTTTCTGTCGTCATAGGTCTTGCAGAATTGGAGCTGTCACACCAGAATGGGCAGAAGTTAGTGGAGGAGTCACTTCTGGCCTGCGGGGATGAGATCAGAATGAGGATTAGATCCTTTTTGGTGGCAGAAAAACAGAGCTCACTTGCTCTGTGGCTTGTGTTTTTCTATTGCCTTTTTTTTTTTTTTTCTCTTCTCTGTTTTTTTTTTTTTCTCTTCTCTGTGGTTCATTTTTTCCAATGCTTGCTAGTATAAAGACAGCATGAAGGATGACTTGGTAAATATTGCATGTTGTTTTTGTAGCTGGTCTTCAGATGAGACCTGCACAGACACTGCCAGTGCTGGCACAGTCTGAGAGGTTTTCTGCTCCTGAAGGGACTTTTCCCCCTTCACCTCCCCTCTGCCCTCCAGGTAGTCTCACATTTCTCTCCTTTCCAAGTGCTCAGTATTTGAAGTTTCTGCTTTGATTGGGCTGGATGAGACATTAAATCTCTTCTGTCCAATTTTTTTAATCTAGCTGCTTGCTGGGTGCCAAATTGGAATTGAGGAAATCTTTAGTCTTTCTAGGACTTCTGTCCCAGTCAAGGCAGAAGCAGCCTTGGGTTCTTCTGGTCGTGGCTTCCTGTTCTGTGTCTCCAGTAGCCCTCAGAGCAGGAGGATCCACCTGGAAGTTCCTTTCCTGCTGTATGAAAAAAGCTTTTTGTGGACTCTGGATCTCTGGGGAAAACCAGCCTGAGCCAAGAAGCAGCTGTGTTTGTGCAGCTCTTGCCCTGCCCTGAGCTCCCCAGCAGGAGCAGCAGTTCTGTTGTCATTTCTGGACATTATTTTAGGTTTGGAGTGTTTGGAATGAAATAAATGCCCATCCTGGTGACAGCAACCAGCCTTTTTTTTACAACCCTCAGATATTCCACTCTGCAGACTCTGCTTTCTGAGGCGGGAGTGTGTAAATGGAGGCCAGTGCTTCCAAGAGGAGATTTTTCAGTGCCTGGTAACAGACCTTTGGATCCTTTAGCAGTTTCCTGTCTGCAGCTCCTGGGAGCAGCCTGCTGGCAGCTCTCCCGCATGCGGGGCCATGGGTGTGGGGATGCTCCGCAGAGCAGCGCAGCCTCTCTGCCTCCTCCTCCTCCTCCTCCTCCTCCTCGGGGGTTCAGGGGCAGCATCAGGCTCAGCACATCGCTGCTGCTGCTCCCCAGCCCGGGGTTATCTGAGGACCTGCAGCCTGCAGTGCATAGGAAGCTCTGCAGTGAGGCACGGGGATGATAAACAGCCAGATGGGTCCCGGAGTGCTCCTGCTCAGGAATATTTTTGCCTTGTAAACACGCAGTGACACAAGCCAGATTTGCTTGCCTTATATGCTGCTCCTGGGAAAGATGGGTTTGTTTTTCAGCCGTGCAAGGGGAGTTGCTCAGGCTGATATTTCTCGGAATCATTTTGTTCTGCAGCCTCTTTGCACAGATGAAGGGCTGCTCGTGCTTTCAGTCCTGGAAGGCATCTGCAGTGTCCTGCTTTGAGGTCCTCTGAGGCTGACGTGGTAGTGATGCTCAAGTGAATTTGGGGAGTAAGTGACCCAAAAAAAAGGAGGTGGAAGGGAAATCTACCAGCTTGCAGCAGAATCTCTGCCCATTGACCAGCTTCAGGAGGTGTCAGCCCAGCTCTCCATAGCCTGACAAGTTCAATGCTTCTCCCTGTAATTTCCGTTTTCTAGGCCAACATTAATGAGTGGTGGAAACTTGTTCATTTCTGGTTGTTTAGGACTGGTTGTTTAGGAAAACAAGGGGCTCTTCCTTTCCCAGCAGAGTAGGAAGGTCTCCCAGCTGCTTCTGCCCTTGGATCTGGAGTGGAAGCAGGGGCTGGTGAGCCATCCTGGGAGTGATTCTGCTGTTCAGGTGGCAGAAGTGGTTGCTGTGAACTGCTGCTGGCTGTTCTTGCTGAGAGCTTTGCTTTCCCAACAGATCCTTGCAGAACCAGCCTGGTCTGCTCTCAGCAGTGCCAGCACACCTGATGGGAGCCCAGGCAGTGAGGTGGGGTGGGTGGCAGGAGTAGCAATGTCAGGTGTTGCCTGCTGCAGAGCTCAGTGGCTGTGCTGAGTGATAAATCCTTGGATATCTGGCGTTTGTGATCCCTTCTCTGCACCTAGCTCTGGGATAGTGTGCTGAGGGATCTGAGCCATCCCAGTGATGCAGAAATGATCAGCAGAGAGAGTCTGCTGCTACAGAAGGAGCTGTGGAGATGGCTAGAAATGGAAATGCAAACAGGAGCACCATTTGTGCTCGTCTCTGTTTCTTCTTGTTATTACAGGAACTTTCTGGTCTGCTGCAAAGGATTTGGGTGCTGACCCGAGGTGCACAAAGCTGGCAGTTCAAGGTGTTGCAGGGTGTGTTAAAGATTGCAGCCTGTGTCTAACAACCCTTGACTAAAAAGAGGGTGATAAACAGAGAATTTGGGTACATGTATGTGAGAGAGGAAAAGTGGTGGATAAAGGTTTGGGGTAAGGAACTTTTAAAGAAAGCACAAGAGCTGGAACAAATGCTCCTGTACTAAAGGTGAATGATGCAAAATATGCTGTCAGTCTGGAAAGAAGCAGCATCAGTAAGCACATTAATCTTGGATTGTAGACATTCCCTATCACTGGAGACGCCAGTGAAACGTGCAGAGTAATATCTTGAAGAGCTAAGTCATGCCTAAGTAAAACTGGCTGCTTCACATTCTGGTATCCAGGAGAATTAATCCTAAATGCCAATATCTTCTCAAGAAAGCCTTGTTCCCTTGGCAGCAACCTGCTTCAACTGATTTTCCTCTTCTCTCCCCAGCTGCCCAACATGTTTGGTGACCTTCGTTCCACCTTCATTGCTCTGATGATTGGCTCCTATGCTTCCTCTGCTGTGACTTTTCCAGGAATCAAGGTGAGGCTGTGGGATCAAGCCTTGTGACTGGTGGTGTTGTGCTGGTGTCTTGCCCTGTTTAGCAATTATGTGGAAAGAAAGAGGGGCTATTTGCTAAAGCACTTTTTTAGAGATGTGCATTTGCAAGATTCAGTTCCTGTCTGTACTAAGAGACTTCCCAAGTGACTGCCTCAAGAATGCAACAGATAAAAAACTTTAGAAGTGCTAAGTAGAAGTGAAAAACTAATTTTTTTTTTTTAGACGAGTATTTTAGTAATCTCCAAGTTGTGTATATATAAATTTTTTTTTAATACACACGTGTGTTTTATCTGTGTGATTGTCACCAATGGTTGGCTTTGAACATAATTTATGGCTGGCAAATGGCACTGAAGGGACATGAGATGGTCACCTGGGCTACCTGGATAGATCACCTGCTTCTGAACCAGGGATGTTGCATTGCAATCTCAGGTGTGCAGGAAAATTTCTGCTTGTTTTCCAAGAAATTCCTTTTCACAAAATTGTTCTGTGACCACTTGAGTTAAACCCTTTTTAAGTGTATCACGTTGTTCTTTCCCTGTTCCTCTCAGACCTCATTCCAAGAGTATTGAAGCATTTCTGGTCCTGTAGCCAAACCCATATTCCTTTGTGATTCCCAGGTTATATATGACTTTGGGGTCTCCTTCATCCTTATCCTCCTTGTCTGGGCAAGCTGTGCAGGACTCGTTTTCCTCAACTGCTTCTTCAACTGGCCCCTGGAGCCTTTCCCAGGACCAGAAGACATGGACTACTCGTAAGTCTCCAGGGCTAATCCCATTCCTAATCCTCTAGGAAAAGTTGGCACAAAGAATTTAGAGGAGTAGACAGGGAAACCCTTGCATTTTGTTTATTGCTGCAACCTCTTAGGCTGAGGATTTCTACCTGCCACTAGCATGTGACTACCTGTGCAAAGCAGAACTTTCCAAACTGTGGGAATTACGAAGGGAAAATTATCTGTTCTGCTCATAAATATTTTTATATTGATTTATGCTATGTTGGCCCAGGGAAAGTATCTCACTGTGCTCTGGATCAAAACCATTTGTGGGTCTGTAATGGAAACCAGTGCCTTAAATCCACAAATAGCCTTTCTGACTCCTGCAACGTCGCTGCCTCTGACTCCTCACCCTGTGTTGCAGCTCTCACGCTCTTTGCAACCCAACAGGGTGAAAATAAAGTTCAGCTGGCTGGGGTTTGACCACAAAATCACTGGGAAGCAGTTCTACAAGCAAGTGACGACCGTAGGGCGCCGTCTCAGCGTGGGGAGCTCCATGAAGGGCCCCAAGGAGCCAGCAGCTCTGCAGGAGAACAACAAGCTCTGTCTGTCTACAGTGGACCTGGAAGTGAAGTGCCAGTCTGACAGTGCAGGTGTGGTTCTGGGGTGCCCCAGGGTGCTGGCACAGGCCTGTTGGCCTCCCTGCTCTGCTCCAGACCTGTCTGGAAGGGAGCAATATGTGATCCAGGTGTTGCCAGGGCCTCGTGCCAGCCACCAGGACTGGAACACAAGTTGAGTTATGTCAGGAATCGTGTCCTTGTGTCCTTCCCTGAATGCAAATGGTGTAGCCAGTGGTGGGGACAGCACATGGGAGCTGGTGTGGCTGCAGGGGGACAGCAGGGCAGGTGGTCACTTCTGGCTCTTAGGTGGATTTTTGCCATCCTGACCAAACCTTCATTTCTCAAGGGCATCATAGAATGGTTTGACCTGGAGGGGACCTTAAAGATCATTTAATTCCACCCCTTTCACCAGAACCTGTTGCTCAAAGCCCCATCCAACCTGGCCTTGATGGTGAAAGCAAATGGTTTGAGGCTTTTTTTTGTCCTAGTCCACCGAATCAGGCCAGCCTTTCCTGCTGCCTTGCCCCTGGCACTGGTAGCCAAACTCCAAGCATCTGCAGCTGTTGATCATGGGAGTTTGTGAGGCACTAGGTGAACTCCTTGGAGCTGCCACTGGCACTCCTAGCCAGAAGAGGACCTACTAGGCCAGAGGCAAAACTGTAAATGTTTGCCAGGCTGTGCTGCCTTCTTCAGAGGCTCTGTTATTCCTTCTGCAGCTACTCCCTCCTTCATGAAGAGTGTTTTCAGTCCCATCCTGCTGCTCAGCCTCATCACCATGTGTGTCACTCAGCTGAGGCTCATCTTCTACATGGGAGCCATGAACACCATCCTTGAATTTCTGTCTGGAGATGAAAGTCAAGGTAGGGAAACCTCTGGAGAGCTTTGCCTGCTTCCTTGGGGCTGGGAGCTGACCCAGACTTGGTCAGTGGAGGCAGAGCAGTGATTACTCAGCAGATACTCTGAGCAGGGAAATCCATGGTGTCCAAGTGCACTGACAGCTGCTGGGAGGGTCCAGGGAAGGGCTGGAACCAGCCCAGCACAGAGGGGCAGTGGGGTAGATGCTTGAATGTCAAGCTAATTTTAGCCCTGTGTCAGATACTACCCTACGTTATTTCCCCACATTGGCTGTTGCAAGTAACCTCTGGGGGTGGACTGCTAATTTTTATTTGAACTGGAAAACCTATTTCATCAGGTATTTGCTTAAGTTATCCCAAGCAAGCAGAGAATGCAGAGCAGCTGACTCTCATGAGTAATAGTTGGATTTGGTGCCTCAGCCCAGCACCCAGAGGGGGGAGAAGTCAGGGCTGTTTTTTGTGCAGCTTGGTGGGTGCTGAGGAGGCTCAGGGCTGCTCCCTGCCCTGGACTCCCTGCATTTATAGTTCTGATGAAGTTCATGGAGCAAACAGGAAAGAGTACATTAGTTTGCTGTCAAAAATACCCAGGATTGCAAAACAGGACTTAGCCTTTTTTTTTTGTTTTTTTGTTTTTGTCCTTTGTAGTAAGATCCAGTTTGAACTTGTTAAATCTGGATTGCATGAAACTGATAAATCAAGAGGCACTCTTCTGAAAACAGGAGTGAGCTCTGGGGGAGGGAAGGAAACTCAGGAAACTCCAAGTGCCCTGGCATTCCCTGAATTGCTTTGTTTCTTGAACCTCTGACAGCCTGCAACATTCATCTCGTTATCTCCTGGCTCAGGATCCAGCTTAGACATTAAACAACAAAACAGGACAAACTTCACACTGCCTTTTTCCCAACACCGCTTCCTTTTCTGCTTACCTTGCAACTCTGACCGTGCTTTTAAAAAAATATTATATATATTTTTACCCTGGCTTGCTGTACTAATTTAATTTTCATTTCTTTCCTTCTCCTCCCCTCCTTGGAATTTCAGAATTAATATTAACTATATAAAGCTGCCAATTCAGCTTAGATCAAGCTCCTTGCTGAAACAGGGATTATGCCCCTTGAGCATACTGCAATTTTTCTGTGCCACCTTTAAGATTTCTTCCTATTTTTTCCCTTCCTCCCCCTGAATGTAGCCTGGGCTCATTGCAGTGCAGTGGCTGTCTTGGTGTTTCCATGGCATCAGCAAAACAGTGGTATTGTCTGGTCTCAGCAGTGTCAGGCACTGCTGCAAGAGCAGTTCCATGGCACGTGCAGCTCTCTAGAAATGTAATCTGTGTGTGCATCAGGAGAGGATGGGATGCTGCTCCCTCGCATTCCTCGTGATTCCTGCATTTATTCTCTTGGGTGGGGTTTGCTCAGAGGGTTCCCTCCACCTGCAGCTGCCCTTGGGAGCACTGAGGGAGTGAAGAGGAAAGCCGAGTCAAACCCTGCAGGTGTTGTGGTCAAAAGTTAAATATTCCTGGGATTACAGCAGGTGAGAAGGATGTATGGAAAATCATGCAGATAAGTAGTGAAGTCTTTAATTGCAGTGAGGCACAGTGTCCTTGAAAGGTCTCTCTGTGTCGGTTATCATGGCTTTGACCTGTCAGGAAACCAAAAGGTGGAGAGAGCACTCAGCCTGTGGCTACTTATCTGCTGAAACCCCCCAAAAGATGAGGAAAAACTTAAGGGTTCATTCTGTAAAAGACTGTGTAATTGTGTTATAGGAAGGCAGAGAAGAGTCCTGTTATGCCCAGAACCTGAAATTTGTCTGTATCTTTCATAAATTGTCACCATGCAAATGTGGTGATACTGAGAGGCCTTGGGGAGAATCAGGGCTGGAAAACTCAGCACTGTGAGATGCTTGTTCAGGGTAGTTTTGAGGGAAAAGCATCTAAAACAGGAAATATAAAGGCTTGTGCCGATGTATGCTTCCTTTGCTAAGTATTCTTGCTTTTTCTCCTTGGGAAAGAATATTTTTTAGGATGACAGATAAGCTGAGGGGGCCTTGTTTTGTAGCTGCTACTGTCTTTCCTCCCCTTCTCTTGCTGACCCCATAAATTTCACTCCCTAATACAAGCTGCCCTCTGCCCTTGCTGTTTAGAGCCTAAGATTAAGTGTTCAGGGTAGCATAAAGAGGCAAAACATGACAGCGTGGCTTGCTTCTTACCCTCTATTAAAAAATAACCAGACAACAGTAAATCAGCTCCTGCAGTGTTCATAGAGAGTGATGCCACCTGTTTCTCTTGGCTGCAGCAGTTGCTATAATGAGAGGGGATGTGGGGTCACTTCAGGGCTTGCCTCTGTGGGAGGAACGGGGCCATGGATGTGAGCTTGGAGGCTGGAAATTCCTCTCAGCTCCTTTGCCAGCAGCTGGAGCCAGGAAAAGATCACCAGGTGCCATGCTTGGGCACAGCAGAGCAGCCCTGCTGGGGTTTGCTGCAAGAGTCTAGGAGAGAGAGGCTTGTTGGACACTTTCTCTCCATTACCAAGTGGATTTTGGTGGGAATCCTGGTTGTAATGCTTTGACTAGACTTAAAAACGGGAGGGACAAATGAAAATTTGAGCTGCTTTGCTTACAAGGCTGTAAGTTGTGCTCTGTGCTGAGATGGGCAGTTTCAGAACTACATCCTTATTTCGAAGCTGTGGCACACCATGACTCACCAGCCCTTCTGTGTAGTGCCTCAGTCATCATGTGGGCTGCTGAGAGGAAGTGGAAAAAGCCTTGCAGTGTGGGGGAACTGCTCAGTAACAGGAGGGGACAATTTCTTCTGAGTCTGCTGGCATCAGCTTTCCCTCAGCAAGCCATGGAGGCACTTCTCTCATTGTTAGCATGAAATTTTGATCACTTTGACCTTTGTAACAATTGCTCACAAATGTTGTGATTTTTTTGGATGTAATCTCCTGTCCCCTTTCTTCCAAACTTGTCCATTCAGCACAAACTGGGTTAGCCTTCACCTTCCCAACCTGATTGCCCTCACTGGAGCATCCCAGCTGGAAAAGCTGTAGCTGCAGCTCCCAGCAAGGCAGGAGAGGAGTTGACTAACGCAGGCTTGGCTGTGCAGCACACAAAGCTTATAAAAACTTTTCCTGCTGGCCCTGCCCAGAATAAACCTCACTGTGACACTGAGTGGGTGCTGTGTCCCCATTTTTGGAGCCCTACCTGCTGCTGCCCAGAGAATTCCAGTGCAGGATTAGAATGGCTGAAGGAAGTGTGCCCAGCATGTCCCTTCTGATGTCTGGAAGGTTGATGAATGACTGGGCTTTTAATAAAGAGAGGTGATCAATGGGAAGGTTATTTTTTTTCTATGGCTTGGACTGAAAACTATTTTTAATATATTTTTTTTTCCCCTGCAGTGGCTTTCTACACTTCCATTTTTGGGGTCCTGCAGCTGCTGTGCCTGCTGACAGCGCCCGTGATCGGATACATCATGGACTGGAGAATGAAAGAGTGTGATGATGGCTCAGAAGAGAATGAGGAGAGCAACGCTGAGCAGTGCGTAGTGTGCGCCACACGGGACATGCAGGCCCCCTCTGCTCTGCCTTGTGTTGTGGGATGAAAGACTGAAAAGAATGTTGGCTCTTCAGTATAGAAAAGAAAGCCTGAAGGAAGACTTGATAATTGCAGAGGAAAGGAGCAGACTACCTTCCATGTCCACTAAGATCAGTCAAGAAGAGCAAATTTAAGTTGTAGCAGGAGAGGCTCAGACTTCCCTCCTAGCTTAAGAGTAAGAGTAACAGCACTGAAATAATTACCCAGATGTTCCTCAGCTTTCACTGGTGGAGATCCCAGCACCTCCCTAGGCAGATCTGTAACCAGACTGGTGTAGATAGTTGATGTGATGTGTAGAGTGTCTTGCTGTGAGTTCCAGCAGCTGCTGGAAGTGTTTGTAACTCAGGTTTTGCTGTCCTTCCAGAGGCGACAAGAAAAAGAAAAAGCGTGACCGTCAGATCCAGAAAATCACCAATTCTACCAATGCCTTTGTATTCACCAACTTCCTGCTGGTTGGATTTGGAATCACCTGTCTTATTCCTAATCTACCCTTGCAGGTGAGTAGGTGGAATGGGTGGGGTGCTGGCAGAATGACAGCACAGTGCCAGGAGAACTTGCTGGTGGTGGCAGGAGGGCAGGGACTGGCACTGTTGGGAGGCTTCCATCCTGCTTTGGAAGCCCCCACTTTTAGAACAGAAACAAATAGCACTGTGCAGCTTAGATCTCTTGGGAAAACCTGAACAAGCAGCTATAGTTAAAATGCCAGTTGATTCAGAATTTATTTGCACTTAGGAGTTTATGCAGCTGGCCTGTGTGACAACAAATTCTTGCCCACCAAGATCCTCTCGGCAGTGCCTGTACATTTAAACTGGGCTTGATTTAAGCTGCTGAAGGTTGGAAAAACTTGCTGCAAGAAGCATAACACAGTGATGTGTACAGCAGCTTATTCCTGCGTCATATGCTGTGCCCAATGGTACCTGTGGGATTATAAACCTGTTAAAATATTTATTCTGTGGCACCACCTATTTTTGGCGGAGGAGTTTAGTGATTTTATGCTATACTTAAATGCACCTTGATGATATAGGCAAACAGCTGCAGTTGGCTCATACTTGTGTGCTGTCTGCAGTAACTTGGGAAAAATTAACTAAATTGGTGGCTATGGAAAAGCATTGTGATCTTGGCCAGGGGTTGCTGGGGTCATATCCTTGCAGCAGTGCCACCTATAAATGAGAGAGGTCTTGTGAGTATGCAAAGTAAGGAAAAGCATTGACTGGAGACAAGTACAAATTTGTTCCCCCGTGCTGATATTTCAGGTTTTGGGTCTGGGTTTCCCAATCCTACCTGAAAAGAACACCTTTTAGGAATGACTGGTGTTGGGTTCTGGCACACTTGAGTGCGTGTCTAGGATGTGATATTTTTCTGTTTCTTTTTTCAGATTCTGTCCTTCATTTTGCACACAATTGTGAGAGGATTCATCCACTCAGCTGTGGGAGGCCTCTATGCAGCTGTGTAAGTCTCTGGTTCCCCATAAGATGTAACTAGCCAGATAAACTTGTTTTGGGCTGTCCAGGGGAGAGGGAGATCAGGAATGAGGTCTTAATGGTCAGAGGGGGAAAAATGATGCAACTTGTTTCCTCAGTTACCTCTAGACATGACAATAGTTGGACTGAAATCCCAGTGCTTTCCTTGTTTAACAACAGAGATGGAACCAGTTATGTGTGAGACTAAACTATTGACACACAGGTTATAAAGTAAAAACTCAAGGCTTTTTTTTCTCTTGCAATGAGCAGATGTGTGCATGTGCCCAGGTAAAACATTAATGTGACCTAAAACATCGCTGCTGCTCTCCTCTGAAGTTACCGTTGGTAAAACATTGCTCAAGATACCATTAGTGATGCCTCCTCCCTTTCCCAGGACAGATCACCCATCCTGTTTCCAACTTAGCAAGTTATCAATAGCTGAATCTAAATACTGTCTTCCTCATTAAGCAATGTTTTTGGTCTTGAAAACAGATCTGTCCCTCAGTGCTGAGAGGCTGGACAGAGGAACAAAGAGGAGCTGTTCTCTTTCAGGGAATCAGAGATTTGTTGAGGTGGGAAGGGACCTCTCAAGACCAAGGTCAGCTAGTGCAGGTTGTCCAGAAGTGCAGCTGTTTTTGTTTGGATTATCTCCATGGGTGGAGGCTCCACAGATCCTTTCTGTCCAAGGTTTAGATCCCTGTGTCTGGGGATGAGAAAACACATCTATGACTCTGCTTCAGAAATGTAAAACCTTTTGGTTCTCTGGCAGCCAGAAGCAAAATATTATTGTCTTGGGCAAGGTAAATAAATGTATGTTGCAGTATGTATCACCTTACTTGTAAACTAATCCTATTTGACCATTGCAACTCTGGAACTTACTGGAGTTGAGGTATTTTTGCTTAGAGTATGACTTTTTTGAATATTTGAAGGTTTTAATTTGCTTGTTTCTTTCCAAGTTTGGTTTAACCTGATTCTTTTAAATACTGCTCAGTCATGGAAAGAGAAAGATGTTAGATTCCTGAAATTTATTTTTCCATTAATATTACCTGATATCAGCACTTGCCAGTCAACAGTGTTGTTTAGTTTGACATAGGATCAGACTTGTCCTCTAAAAAGGAAAACACTAACCTGTTGTGCAGGTTTCATCACCTCCAAAGGGAGCAAATTGTTATGACCAGATGAAAATGATTGCTCAGCCAGTAGTTTTGTCATCTGGATAAAGAAGCCTTGCTTTTAACTTGTAAATATCCACACTCTGCTCCCTGTGCAGTAGAAACAAGCTGTATAAGCACTTCCACTTGCCCACAGTAGAGCTGCAAAACAAAACAAGTGCTGGATCTGATATTACTGAAGTCTGAGAGCTCAGGATGAGAATAATCTGAAGAAGATGACTCCAGCCTTGGCACCAGTTCCATTTTGCTCTCAGGAGCAGCATGCACTCCACAGGGTATATGTAAATACCCTGTTAAAAGGGGAAGTTACACAGTGCAGGAGGGAGTTGTGCACATTACGCCTGTCTTGGGACTCTGCTCTCATGTTGGTCTCTGTTATTACTGAACTGGGAATGCAATCTGACCTGGGTGATATGAACAGTCAAGGTGACACATAATAATGCTGTTGCTTTCTTTGTTGACAGATACCCCTCGACTCAGTTTGGCAGCTTGACAGGGCTGCAGTCATTGATCAGTGCCCTCTTTGCCCTCCTGCAGCAGCCTCTCTTCATGGCACTGACGGGACCTTTGAAAGGAGACCCCCTCTGGGCAAGTTCTTCTCAGTTTTGATATGAAAGCTTGGGGGTTAAGATGATTTTTGGCTAATTTGAGGACTCCTGTGCATGGACCAAGGTGAAAAACAGCTGTAATTTTACATGTCCCTCATTCTGCTGTTACCTTGGTGCTGTCCAGGAGACCTTTCCCTGTGTGAGTAATGACTTTTTGGGCAGGAAAGCCATTAACCCTTATGGTGAATGGAAAGGGAGGAAGGGAATGCTTTCCACTAACAGTTTTATGGGTGAGTCAGAATCTGTCAGGTTAAAGTGGGTGAGTGTGAGCAGACCTCAAACAGGTGGTAAAACACTGTGACACTTGAGAGCTACAAGCTCCAATTGCCAGTAAATTTTGGATTGCTGATGCTAATATCCAAAAAGCCAAATGGCTGTTGAGGACAGGGCTAATGTGGTGTCTTGCTGAGAGTCTGGGCAGCTCAATAATATCATGACATGGGTGATCCTGGGGAGCATTCTGCTGTCTAGGCTACATGTGCCCATACCTGTTGCTCTTCAGTCAGCAAACTTGGTGTGAAACACCTGCAGCTCCAACAGCCCTGCCTGTTCTGTGGAACAAGACTCCCATAGCCATAATCCAGAGTGACAAACTCTTGCAGCATTTAGCTTGTACACAGAAGGCTCTCTGGGCATGGGAGTGTAAATATGAAAACAGTGGAGCAGGGCGTCTCCTGGTTTGCCCACAGCTGGGTGATGTGGGCTGGGCTCTGACACGGCTGCATGCGTGACTGGATTGTTGTCTTCTCCCCACCAGCCTAATTTTGGTTTGCTTTCCTCCTGCAGGTGAATGTTGGCTTGCTTGGCCTGAGCCTCCTGGGTTTCTGCCTCCCAATCTACCTGGTCTGCTACAGGCGTAGGCTAGAGAGAGAAAAAAAGCAGAAGATGGAAGATGCCAAACTTTTCTTCAAAATCAATGGCACTCCCACTGAGGAAGCCTTTGTTTAAACTGGTGCTTCATGTGCAACCTCCCCTGTACAAGTTCCTACCACGTCTGTGGGTTCTACCTATGGTGTAAGCCAGGGCTTTTCTCCCCTGGCTCTGCCAGTCGTTGCTCATCACTGGAGTGAGGGCTGGACATCATGACTGAGATTTCCTCAGATATATGGCAGGAGGAGACTTCCCACTCCTTATTCCAAAACACGGGACACTTTTCCTTTTTATAAAGGCCACACAGCTATTGTGTCTTAAATTATCCCCTGATCACACTCTCCAGCAGCAGAGAATTTGCATGGGAAACTGGGGAGAGAAGGAATAGAGGGATGGGGAAAGAGGGACGACAGACCATAATTTGAGTTTGCAAATGTAACACACTGCAGTTTGTTTTCTCCCCTTCTTCCCCCAAACTTGGCTGACACAGTCTTGGATGCAAGCTGCACTGTCCTCCCTCCCCAAGGCTTCATAATGGTCTTTCTGCTTGATGTGTAGCTGGAACCAGTGGTTTTACTGTCTCTCCAGACATATCCCTGTTTCTGAGGCAGGGAAGGGGTTTTTATTCCTATGTATTATGAGCACAGCTTCAGTGTTTTGCTAAATGTTGGCTGCTAGCACTGACAGCTCCCAAACCTTTTATTACTGCAAATGGCACAGACTGTGATCAATGGATCTGCCTTCCACACTGAAATGAAGAGCCTATAGTGGACTGCTGGTCCTAGACCAAGCCTTGGGAGGCCTGGAATTCCTCTTCTTCCCGGTTCACAAACTCATCTGTACGTGTTTTAAACTGTCTGCAGTCCTGGAGCCTCTGAGATGAGAATTGGATCTTGTTTACCGATTAAGTGCTTTGAGACTTTTGTTGCCTTTTGTCTCTTCTTCCCCCTGACATGCCCCTGGGAAGGGAGCAGCAATGTGTGTTCAGTAAAGTGGAGAAGCTTCTTGAAGCTGAGTTCTGGGGCTTCAGATACCTTGGTGTTCCCAGGCTGTCAGCTGACCTGCTGGTGAAAAGAACCAAGAGTGCAGAACACTCCTTTATGTCTGGTCACTGGATCCTGTGGACATATGGCAGGTTGATGTGATGTCATTTTTCCTTTAGCCATAGCTTATTTACCTTACCATGACAATTGTCACCGAGCTGCTGAACATCAGGTTACTGTGACTGACCAAAATGCTGCCAGTTTGGCTGTTCTAGGAGCCTTCTACAATGTTGATGCTCTGCCTGGATGGAGCACCTGGTGATTGATTGTATGGTGAAGCTGACTGTCGGAGCAATACATGTGGGTAATGGTGCCCAGGCCTGTTCACACCAGGGAGGGAATACAAAGGGAATTTTTGACCTGCTTATTTTTATAGAGGTTTTCCTTGTCTAAAGCAGACTTTTCTGCCCTTAACCTTCTTGTTGAGGTCGGTAGCTCAGGCTCTGTAGCCCTGTGTTAAGCACTGCAGCAAGTGGAGCTGCTGGGAGCAGGACTGTGCAGGGGTAAGGATGCGCATCCCCAGCGGGTGCAGGCACCGTCTGCCCTGGGCTGAGCTGGTGGCTGCGGGAAGGTTGGGGCAGAAATAAAACAATTCTGGAGACTTAGTGGTGGTGTTTTACTGCAAAGCCTGGCAGGGGATCAGGCATTCAACTTGTCTATGCCTGGTTGGAAAAGTACAAGAAACAACATCGTCCTACAACCTTCCTGTGACAAATTACTGGAAGCTAAGCTGGGTGTTTTCTCCTTCGCTGGGGGTTTGAAGGAGGCAGAACCTCAGCCCGGCAGGGCTTCGACTTTGCTGCAGAGCCCAGAGCCGGGAGCCCCGCGGGTCCCTGGCGGTGGCAGGGCCAGCGCTCCGTGGGCCGGCAGCGCCATCTCCAGTCGCCGCTGCTGCGCACTCCGTGGTACCTTTTAGTCTTCAGTCACTCGTTTCAGAAGGATTCACCACTTGAGGATTTTACACAGCTGTGATTTATTTTTTTTTTAAATGTGTTGCCTTTATTAAATGTGTTTGTTTCAAGGCAGTTTTACTGCCTGTTGTCAGCACTGTATTCTTCTGGAACTTTTTTGTGTTTTGGTGATGATATAGTGAGCTTTCCATCTTTTCTTTGAGCAATAATTAAGAAGGCAGAGTTTTGATTAATTTTGCTGGTCACCTGTCCTGTCTCAAGTACATGTTCAGAGGCATACCAGCAGTGGTACAGCCAGAGGGCTTTCTGCAGATGTCTGCATTTTGTATTACAATGTATTTTGAGAAGAGTCCTGTTCCTGCTCAGAGATACTCATGACATGACAATGACAGATTTAAGTATCAGGTGCATGAGCCTCCATCCACAGTCTGTGTCCTAAAGCAGAGTTGGTGTTTTGTGTGCTAGCCCAGCATTACTTCCACCTCAGTTTCAGAATTGAATGTGATATCTTCCACTCTTGTGTCACTTAAATGCCTGTTACAAATGTCTCCGCAAAATAGTGGACTAGAGAGTGGTGTATTTAAATTAAGTCTTAGTGGAGATGCTGCTGCCTTTTAATTTAGCTGCACATACTTCAAAGAACACAGTTTTATTTCTGCCATCTACCTCCCTACTGCAGTTCCCAGATCTTGCCCTTTATTAGGGATATCTTCAAATCCAGTTTTATCTGATAAACTGGTGAATATGTGTGCTTAATGTCTCTGCTCACATGCCATGGTGGTCAGAAAGCTGCTGGTCAGCTGTGAGGAGTAGAGCTCATGTCCTGGTGGGTACAGAGGGAGCTTTTAGCTGTTCAGGGTTGAACAGACAAATGGGATCATGTTCTGGGGCCATGCAAAGTCAAACTGGAATTCTTTGCTGCAGAATGTAGTGAGGAACAGAAGTATCAATTGTTTTAAAAGAAGAGGCTGGTTAAACAATGGTCTGATGCATCCACTAACTCAGGGAGATTTTAAGTTGCTGTAAATAAGAAAGTTATGCTGAGGAAAGATACTTGTCTGCATGTTCTGTCTTGTAAGAATTGGCCAAAGCTAGAGAAAACACACTGGGCTAAAGTGAAACACTGGTCTGATCTAATGGGGTGAAATTTATTTTGACAGTTGTGAACCAAACTAATTTCAGTCTCATATTTATCTATCAAAAACCTGTATCTGCATGCAAGATGTGCAAACACTCTACTGATTGTGACATAATTGCTACAGAGCTGCACCTCTTGCAGCAGTGGGGTCAGTGGAAGGCAATATTCTGCCTTCAGATTCCTCTAAACATTGTCTTGCACAGCACAAACACAGCTGGGGTGGTCATGTCACATGTGGTTGATCAGGGGCAGTTTGCCTCGTCCTTTGATGTTTAGGGAAATAGAGTTTTGGGTTATATACATTTGGAATGGAAAACAGCATTGCTGCTTCCCAGCTGAGTGTTTCAGGACCAAGACAATGCCTGGTGCACTCCCTGCGTGCATGAGCCACCTTGTGGGAAAAATAAATGGGCTACCAAAGACTAGAGAGTCACAGCAGTTAGCATCAATAATGCATTTATCTGTATAACTCAAATGTAGGTAAATGTGCTGAACTACTCTCGTAATTCCTAAATGATGAACTTGTAGGACTTGAGGTTTTTTTGTGTCTTTTGTACCTCCTTACCCTGATCCATATGGGGAGTGCAAGGACGGTTGGCCATGGGAAAGAGCTCCATGGAAGCAACCCCAACGGAATGTAAGGAAGCAGAAACCTGATCTGCGAGCACCTCAGAGGTGTTGCTGTGTAAAACGATTGCACCTTCTGAAGACACTGCTCCCAGGCTCTACAGCCTCTCGCATGCATTTAATCTGCATTTGTATTAAAAAAAAAAATAGAATTCACAGAGTGGGGAAGGGAGGGTGACAGCTTTTTGCTTTCACTAATCTGTCAGAACCTAAGCCCTGTTGACACAGCCTTTATAGCACTAATGCAATGACACGATGTCAGAAGTAGCAGAGAAAATCTGTGCTGTTCTGCTTAATAGGACATTTACACTGGGACAGTCACTGAGTAAAGCTATATCTGGATCCTTGAGATGAAACTGGACACAGATGTCTGGGAAAGAAAAGGGGGCAAATCTTGCTGAGACACCAACTTAACTGCAGTGCTGCTACAGCAACTGAAATGTTCAACTCCCACAGCAAAGCCTGGCCTCTTCGTGCTCTGTCTGCAAAGGAAAATTGCAGGATAATGAGATTTTTAACTAAGTCCGTAAATCACTAAAATGTTTTCAAGTAGATTTCCCTCTTGACAGGCTGAATTTGGAAAATATGCTATAAAATTCAAACCAGATACTGTAGAGTAAAAGGAATGATATTTCTAAACTACACATATTTGCTACTCTTTTCTTCCCCCTTTATTTTTTTTTTTTTTCTGCATCTGTAGAGCTTTTTGGTATTCCCTACACCCCGGGTTAAAACTGCAAAGTACTCATAATGGAAAATAGTATTACAGCAGGATTCCTGTTGGGAATGGACTGGTTTGGGGTTTTTTTATTAAAAAAAAAAAAGGGCCATTACTGATTTACAATGTTATCTTCTCTGGAATAGCTGAAAAAATGATGTGTAATGTAGCTGCAATCTTACATGTTAATTATAAAGCCCACAGGTCATTGTTTTCCTCCATGTGCTGCCAGCCTGTCTCTGTGCAATCTGTTTTTACCAGGTGTCCTGTGCTCCACATTGTCATCCTACTGCTGTTTGTCACTTCCTTGTGCCTGACCCTCCGTCACCTGCTTTTTATTCTGGAGACAATCCCCTCTTTCAGAAAACCCACTCTTTAACCTGCCAGCATTACCTCTCCCACCTTTTCCTGTCCACAGAATTTTTTGTAGCGTTTGCCGAAGTGGAACTGTAAACTCCTCGGGCAGGCCTGTGTCATCTCTGTGTTTGTAAGGTGATGTGCACTCTTGCAGTACTATCTCAAAATAAAGTGTTAATAAGTTAATCATTAGTTTTCCTTCTGAGGGTGAACATAATAAAAGATTATGGAACCATGAAGGTTTTATAGGGTGGCATCTGCCAAAGGGCAGGACCCAGGTTGAATATTTCCTTGACTCTTCTCTAGGTTAGGAGCTAATAGCCACTGCCAATTATTTTTTTTTTCTCCAAATGAATTTAATCTCTGAGAAAAAACTCCACACCCTGTAGGTGGCAGGTTGAGAATGAGATTGAGCTCAGCTATATAGTGTGAACTGCTGTTAAATAGTGAAAAATGAAGAGTGTGGCCTTAGAGGAGAGTGCAGGTGTCGACAGCAAAGCTGCACGTGTCAGTTATCCATGCCTTAGCTTGGTGATGCTAAATCTGTGGTGGTTTACTTTTCCAATCCAATAATGACAATCATTGAAAATGCCATAAATCGTGACCTAGTGACAAGGTGAAGCCCATAACCTGAAGCCACTCACCCTGTCTGACTGTAGCACTGACTTATCCCCTGGCTATTTGCGTTAATACCCTGGTCACTCGTCACTCCCCTTCCCCACCCTCCCAAAAGAGGGGGGCCACGAAGTTACAAAAATACTGGAGCACATCCCCTGTTGAGATATAATGAGAAATTTGGGTCAGTTCAGCCTGGAGAGGAGAAGGTTGTGTGGAGACCACACAGCACCTACCAGTATCTGAAGGAGCTACAGGAGAGGCAGAAAGGGACTCTTTGTCAGGCACTATAGTGATGGGACAAGGAGTAATGAGTTCAGACTGGAAGAAAGGAAACTTAGGTTAGATATTGGGAAGAAATTCTTCTCTGTGAGGGTTGTGAGGCCCTGGAATGGGGTGCCCAGAGAAGCGGTGGCTGCCCCATCCCTGGAAATGTCCAAGGATGGACAGGGCTTGGAGCCACCGGGTCTAGAGGAAGGTGTTCCTGGCCATGGCAGGGGGTGGAACAAGACTTTGGGGTCTTGGGGTTTCTCCCAGGCAAAACCATTCTGTGATTTAAGGAGAACCTGCTGGTGGCAGGAGGGAGACTTCTCGGGAACCCCACTCCCGAGCTGAAACAAGTAACAACCATGCGGTTTACACCTCTTGAGAGAGCCTAAAGAAGCAGCTGCAGTTTAAAATGAGTTGACCCAGAACAACCTGAGAGCTTGCCAGGAGGGCACTGCTTGGGAAGACTGCGGCAAGCCCAGCCTTGTGGCTGAAACACCACCGCGCGCTTACACGTCAGGAGAGAATCTAAAAAAAAACCAAAAAAAACCCAAAACCAAAAAATACCACAGGCGTTCGCGTTTAAAACGTCAGCGCCCATCCAGGCAGGAACCCGTGAGGGGCGGGATGAGCCCGTGAGGGGCGGGATGAGCCCGCGAGGGGCGGAGGAGCCCGTGAGGGGCGGAGGGAGCCCGTGAGGGGCGGGATGAGCCCGCGAGGGGCGGGATGAGCCCGCGAGGGGCGGAGGAGCCCGTGAGGGGCGGGATGAGCCCGCGAGGGGCGGAGGAGCCCGTGAGGGGCGGGATGAGCCCGTGAGGGGCGGGATGAGCCCGCGAGGGGCGGAGGGAGCCCGGGAGGGGCGGAGGAGCCCGCGAGGGGCGGAGGAGCCCGNAAAAAAAAAAAAAAAAAAAAAAAAAAAAAAAAAAAAAAAAAAAAAAAAAAAAAAAAAAAAAAGAAAAAAAAAAAAAAGGAACCTGTGAGGGGCGGGAGGAACCCGCGAGGGGCCGGATGAGCCCGCGAGGGGCGGGATGAGCCCGGGAGGGGCGGAGGGAGCCCGTGAGGGGCGGGAGGAGCCCGTGAGGGGCGGGATGAGCCCGTGAGGGGCGGAGGAGCCCGCGAGGGGCGGGAGGAGCCCGGGAAGGGCGGGAGGAGCCCGCGAGGGGCGGAGGAGCCCGTGAGGGGCGGGATGAGCCCGCGAGGGGCGGAGGAGCCCGCGAGGGGCGGAGGGAGCCCGCGAGGGGCGGAGGAGCCCGCGAGGGGCGGGAGGAACCCGCGAGGGGCGGAGGAGCCCGCGAGGAGCGGGAGGAGCCCGCGAGGGGCGGGAGGAGCCCGGGAGGGGCGGGAGGAGCCCGTGAGGGGCGGGAGGAGCCCGGGAGGGGCGGGAGGAGCCCGTGAGGGGCGGGATGAGCCCGGGAGGGGCGGGATGAGCCCGTGAGGGGCGGAGGAGCCCGCGAGGGGCGGGATGAGCCCGGCGGGCCCGCCCCGCGCGCGGCGCGGAGGTGACGCAGCCGTTGCCGCAGAGACGAACCGCCCCGGCCCCCCCGTCCCGGTGCGGCGCCGCTCGGCTCGGCTCGGCTCGGCTCGGCTCGGCTCGCTCCATCCCGCGCAGCGCCTCCGGGACGCGCCTCCTGTCACCTCCAGCGGCGCTGGCCCGGGCGGGCGGCGCGCGGCGGCACCGCCATGGTGCTGATCAAGGAATAGTGAGTGCGGGGGGCTCCCCCATCCCGGCCCCCCTGAGCCCCTCCGCTCGCCTCCGTCCGCGCCCGGAGCCTGGCGCGGTGACGGCCGCGGGTGGGCGGCCCGGCCTTGCCCCGCAGTGCGGCCGCGGAGCGGGAGGGAGGGAGCGGGGAGCGCCGTGAGGGCCGCGGCGGCGGTGGGGGCGGCATGAAGGTCACGGCGGGGCGGGCGCCGCGGCTGCCGGCGGGCCCCGGCGCCGCTCGGCCCCGCTGCGGCTCCGCCGGTGCCCCACGGCCTCCTGCGGGTGATGCCGGGTGCCGAGGGCCGAGCCGGAGCCGGCTCAGTCCCGGCGGTTTCTGTGGGAGCTCTGAGCGAGGCAGGGGCGTGCTGCCAAGTGTCAAACCTGGCTTTGGTCCCCTCCCGCCTTTGGCTGTGTAATCTCCGAGGAAGGACTCCCGAGAATGTCAGAAATGAGGTAGCTCCAAAATGGTTTTGTGTGTGGAAGCCTCACCTTGGAGTTCTTCACTGACCCTGAGGCTGTTGCGGTTGTCCTGATGGGGATGAAGGGGTGGAGAACTGGCTGGACATGAGGGTGTGTAGCCATTAGTCACGTTGCTTGTCACAGTCCTTGGTTCAGCAGCTCTGTGCTCGCTAATGTGGAATATACTTTTGGACCGGTGCACTTTGGCTGGGTGTCTTCAAAGCTGTGTGCACTCTGCACATAGTTCTTTCCTGAATTCTTAAGGTTAACTCAAGTGCATTCCTCTGTTAAGTGCATTCCATCATTTTAAACTTTTGGCTGAGGGAAGAGGCCTTCTGTTTATTTTTTCTTTCTCCCCTTCTAAAAGATACCTGTGATCCCACTGGTAAAGTGGGTTTTCAGGTCTTCTCTTAGACACATTTACCTACATGACTGTGTCCTCCTTACAGGAATTACTTGGCAAGATAATGGAACATGGTGTGGATTTAAATATTAAAATTATGTTGAGGGTTAGATTGATCCTTGTAGTTGCCTTTAAATTTGATTAACAATTTCCCCCTCCCAGTCCTTAAACACCTGCTATTTTTATCCAAACAATAGAAGTGTAGAATTCAGGAGTAGCAGCAGAACTGCTCTTTGTAATACAGAAACACCATTACCTTCTGTAGTGTTAAACTGGATAGCAGGCAGAAACCTGGCCTAAGTGCTTTGTTTCAGGTGCGTGAAATGACAATTAATTCCTTCTACAACATCTGTTTTGTTGATATTTTCCTGTGGATTTACTACTTTCCCTCTTAGAGAGCACCTTGGCTGGGTTATCATGTATCTTTTTCATGCTTCTGCTCACAATTCCTTGCCCTGTACCACAGTAAAGCTCATTACCAGTGAGCTGTGATGTAAAGGTGAGAACATATGTACTTTGAATCAGATTTCTGACAGTATGAACAGTTCATTTTCGTGACTATCACTTCCAAAAGTAGTTTTACTCAACATTATTTACCTCACCATATCAGCATGCTGGTCTTTCACACTGCCTACTTCAGAAACAAGGCGTGAAGTGTAAATGTTAAGAGTAAAGGTTAAAAGACCAGTATTGCTACATTGGTTTCTTTTTACAGGTTTCCATTTGTATTTCCAAAAGGGTCACTAAACCTTTTTAGTGTAGCTATTATACTCTTTTCTTCACTTTATTTTGCCCTTAGTAAGATGTGTGGCTGTAAGGACAGTCAAGGTTGCCACTGGAATTTTCAAGTTAACATTTATTTTTGACTTTCTGAGTTTCCCAACCACCTCTGACAGTTGCACATTCTGAATTGTGTCACTGTATTGGCTCAGATTTAAATTTTCTTTATGTTCTACATGCCAAATTTACATCCTCTTTGAGATGGTTTTTGATGGATTCTCATCTTCCAGGAAGCAGTTGTTTAAGGCATGTTGAAACCTCTTGTTTTGGTGTGAGCTGGCTATTTTAAGTGCTTTGCTGTTACTTATGTTAGTTCTGTTTGCATGCAGGTAATTACTGCCATCCTACCATAGGTGGTAAAAAGTTAAATGATCTGTAACTTCATCTCATCTGAGCAGATTATTCTTCCATCTCTGTGACCCCTTGTCACACTCTCCCTAGTAAATCAGATGGGTTTTATTATGCCTGTAAGTATTTTAGGAGCTGATACAGAAATAGAGCAATATAACAAAAACCTGATGTCATATTTTATTATCAGCCAAGTCTGTATCATAATTTCTCTACAGCTTCTTGTCCTGATGGTTGTGCAGTGATGACTGTAACGATTTGATGTCCTGTCAGACTTTCAGGCTTATCTTGCATTTCTATCCATCCATGCTGCAGATAAGCTGCATGAATTTTGTTCATTTGCTTGCATTTTTTTGGGTGTCAGGGTTTGTCAATGCTGTCTGGAGTCTTGCTTGCTGTCCTTATTTTGATTTAAACTGCCTTGGAAGACCTTGAGGAGAATCAGAGTGTGGAGACTCGCTTCCCTTTCCTGTGAAGTGACGATAATGCCACTGACCTTCCCTGCAGCTGTACTTCCCTTTGCTGTCATTTGAGGCAGATTTTAAACTAACAGGGATCTTAAATGTTCCTCACCATTTTCAGGCTGATCACATCATTTAATTTCTCATAAACTGAGCAAGTTCTGTCCTAAAGTTAGGAATCTTTGCTCCCATTGCTGCTCTTGCAAAGGTTTTCCTCAAGTTCCTCTTGAGGAGTTTTCCCTCCTCCTTTATCACTTAACTACCTGTAAGTGGTTTTCACCCCTACTTCCTTGGTTTGCTGGGCTGAACAAACTGTAAACCATTGATCTTCTTTGTGTTTCTGTTTCTCCACTGAGCTCTAAGATAACAATTCAGATTTAGTGTCTTCTAATCCTAAATGAAATTTCATTCGCTTACAGCAATGTTTTACACCAGGTTTTCTGAAGAAAAATGTTCTAACTCCATTCCAAAGAAATTGTTTCTTCCCCATTTCTTGGTCTTTCACTCTAATTATCATCCAGCCCCTCTTTTCATTCTTATTGCACTTTTATCCAATTACGCTCAGTGGCAAAGTCTACGTGTGAAAATCTCTTTCCTTTTTTTGATCCTCCCTTACACCATACTGGTGTTGGTTCTCTTCCCTCTTGCCTTTCAGCAGGTATTTTCAGGGAACAATATGTAACAGTGAGTAAAACAATTATAGTTCAATCTGTCCTACCAGCAAGTGGCACATGGATTTCCATGAATTGATCAAATCCCATTTAAAAATTGCTTTTACTTCCTATCTTTGGCAAGGAATGCCATGTCTTCAGTAGACATGACGTAAAGAAGCACAAGTGATTTGGTCTAAAATTTGTTGCCTAATGATTTTTCTGTTGTAAAACAGTCATTGTTCCTTCTCCATTCACTTTTTTTTGCATCATTTATGATCTCTAAATCTCTTCCATACCTGAGCCTTTTAGCTGTTTTTTTTCCCAAGCTGGAAGGCCAAGTCTTTGCTGCTTTCTTCTCACACAGAAGCATTTTCCCATCTCCAATCATCTTTTTTTAACTTCCTTTACTTGGTCTGTATCCTCTTTGAGATAAGGTGACCAAGACTATGGGCAATATTTAAGATGTTGATATGTGGGAGATTCTAGTGACATAATTGTCTTTTTTGTGTGTGTGTGTCTGTGTGCTGTTCCAGTTTCTAATATTTGATTTACTTTTGAACTGCCATTGAGCTGATGTTTCCTGCTGCTTTTCCATAAAGGCACAAGATATTGGCAATAACTAACTTGGGGCTCATTAACCCCATATGTTTGGTGAAAATGAGTGGCTATAGTGCATTATTCTTTTTTTTTTTAATTGACAATGAACTTCTTTTGCAGTTCTCAGTAGTTCTTTCTGCAGTACTTTGCAGTCAGCATAAAGTGTTGCTGTCACAAGTAATCTTGCATAATCTATAATCTTTTGCCCTTATTGGAGTTTGTTCTTTTGGTAAAATGTAAAAAAAGAATTCTATTTTCACCACTATTGCTTTTTCATAATCAGTTTATTAATACAGAGAGCTTTTTTTCTTGATTGTGTCCTAGTTCCATTGAGACTAATTCCCAAAGAATTGGGAATTCTTCTGCCCATAGTAGCCATATCCATTTCCTATCTGTCTCTTGCTTTGGTTCCTTGTTTGACATCATCCTTGCCGAAAGCAGAAGTCAACCACAGATCCAGTTTTGGAGAAGACCTTAACAAGCATGTATTTCTGTCAGCTTTAAATTGATTCTTTTCAAAAAAATCTGTGTGACTTCAAGCAGATTTTGCTGTGTTACCCAGTCAGTTGATTCTAAGAAACATTCAGGAAACCACAATTTAAAAAGTCTCATTTAAAGCAGTGGCAGCACCCTCCTTTGCAGTGAGCTCTGAGAAAGCTTTTCCTCTGCTGTTTCCTGCTGCTTTGGGACATGTGAGCAAATTGTGCAGTGCCTTGTGGCTATTGCAGATCTCTGCAGAATTGCTGAGGCCCACAGAAACCTTCCCAGCAGCTTGATGAGAAATAAGGTGTGATTGCTGAAAGGATGGAGTGAGAGGGATCACCACTGTGTTGATGCTGTGTGGGTTTGCAGACCAGTTGAATTACAGAATTTTAGGAGAGGGTTGCAATTATGCTCCATCATGTACTGGTTCTCTTTGAGGTTGTTCTATAAATAGTCTTTGGCCTAAGGAGTACTGGGTGGATGCTGAAATTCTGGGGGGAGAGGAGAGCTGTGCAGCCATTGCTGTGAGGAATGTGGGAATTTTGGGGCTGCAGGGATATTTGCTAATTTCTGTCTCTCTGTTCCCTTGCAGCCGCGTTATCCTGCCTGTGTCTGTGGAGGAGGTAAGTTCTTCGCTTCTTCCTTCCTTGCTTTAGGACTGTAAATAAACCTGTGATCAAAGCATGAACAAAAACTGGAAAATGCAAGCTGTCTTCAGGAGCCCCTGTGAGCTGTTACTCATTCTCCATCATTTTTGACCAAATAATTGTATTAAGTCTGAGGGTGCCAATCATCTCTCTTACAAATTACTTTCAGATATGCTCATTATAAATCTTGAGTTGTCAGGCTGTTTTCAAGTGCAGCTTCCTTTTCATTAGCACTATTGTTCTTTTCTATTTTTTTAACATGAAGGGGAAGCTTTAGTACAAATTTAAGTCACCTTTTAAACTGTGTTTTGCTAGAGCTCTTTTGTTTTAAACTCTTAGGCAAAGATTAAGAATTACTTGTGACATAGGAGGCTCATATAACAAAAGGACTTTTTCAGACCTGTGCTATTTAGCTCTTTCATATAGCAAACTTTCTTATTGTTTAGATAAAGCTGAATTGAGAGAAGAGATTAGTTTCTATTGGACAGGGTGCTTTTCATCACCAACCATGAAATAGCTGTGCAGACTCAGTGGCTGTTTCCCTCCTGTTTCCTCTGATTTTCAGCTTGCCTTTCCTTCCTCCCTCCTGCATGAACACCACTCTTGCAGATAATCTAACCATATGAATGTTTTGAATTTTTTAATCTTTATACTAACAAGGTACAAATAGAAATGACTGAGTCTATAGCACTTCCGTAGCAGATTCCTTTTTCTGGATGTGTTTTATTTTTTCCTTGTGATCCTTGGCTGTAAGCCTTGGGTTTGTGAACTCTGATCAAGGCCTTGTTCTTACTTTTAGGGAGAGCTGTGGTAACAGCACTCTTGTTCATTTTTCTTTCCTCTGAATATAGAAGCTACTGTGGCGTAAACAGTGGTGGGCTGGCTCATGGCAGCACTTTTTTAAGCACATCCCTTTTATAACTCTTACTCTTTTGACAGAACACAGTTTATAACTTCATGTGGTGCATTCCTGCAGCCATCAGATTGGCTAGTAAAAAACAAAAGCAGTGTCTAAGCTGAGTTTCTTGTTCTTGTGGCTCAGTCTGCTGTGACAGGTATCAGATGCTGACAGAAAGCCCAGAACTCTGATCAGAGAGTGGGTTTAGATCTGTGTTCTATGTTAGTGCAAGAACAAGGTTGTTAATGCTAGAAATTCTGTTTGTTGCTTGCTCCCTATCTGTAGCTTTTATGCTTTCTGCATGAATCTGTTTCCAGCAATTTTAACAGAAGTCAGACTGAAGTATGAGAGTAGGGAAGTTTGGATCTTTTATTGTGCCTGAGCACCACTCACAAGAGCAAGAGCTTGACAAAGGAAGGAGTAACATGATCAGCTTTATCAAGTAAGCAAAGGATGCAAACTTTCAGGTTAGAGAAAGCTGTGGGTAAGTGGCAGGTTGCTTGAGCTCAATGGACAGAAAGGACTTTCCTGAATGACAGGAACCCTGCCTTGTAGTGATATGGCTCCTTGGTGTCAAGCAGTGTAAATAAAAAGTCAAAGCATCAGCACACAGATTGTTTCTTTGAGGGGGTTAGACTGGATGGAACCCAACACAGGGTTTTCCTAAGTTCTCTGATACTGGGATTAGCCTTCATCCAGTTAAAACGAGTCCCTGGCTGTGCTCTTGTTCCTCCCTGGCTGTTCAGAGCCTCGTGTGTAAACTGCCTATGTGGAAAACTGAGGGTTTGAGCTGTAGATACATCTATCAGTCTCTGGCAAACTCCTTGTGTGGCTGCCCTGGGATTATCTGTTTCAGGAGGTGTATTGCTCTACTCGGGGTCCAGTGCTTGCCTTGTGGAGAAACCCCCAACCTGTCCAAATCAAATTTCTCCCCAAACTTGCACATTTGTCACCGTGTCCCATGAGTGATGTCCCTTTCCAAGGTCTGGTGTTTTTCCTGTGATAGGGCAGATTTCAGGAGCCAGTTCCCTGAGCAGATAGGGTTCTAAAGTTCACTTAGTTTTGTCTGTGTAGCTGGGTGTGCTTAAGAAAAAAGGTTATTTCCAGTGTTGACTCAGAGGATGACTGCTGCTGTGTTTATTGCCTCATCCCCCTTCCTGTGTGCAAAGATGCTGACACATCTGTGCATCACTTGGTCACTGCACTGCTGTCTGTTCTACAAACCAGCTGTTAAACCTTCATTGCTTTCAAGGATTTCCTTGTGTACAAAATTCTTAGGGCTCTGGAGACTTATTATTGCTCCTGACTGTGTAGCTGTTCATGAAGCAACTCTGGCTAGCAGGAGGACTTCTGATTTCATTTTTATATGGCTGATTTTTGCTCAAAAGGCTTAAGAGTTCACACCTTCTTGGTGTGCAGATTGTTGGCAAAAGTCTGATGCCAATGTATATGATAGGGAATGAAATTAATTGTAACTTTGAGATGTCATGAAAGGGTTGAGGGAATCTTTTGTGAGGTTTTGTGGTATACCAGGGATTCAGTCTCCACCCTTAGCAAATGGATCTTAACCAGTAGTATGGAATTCAAGAGAAAACTAGTGATCAGGAAGGCATTGGAGAGCTGTGACTTAATCAACACAGAGCTCAGTGCTGCTTAGTTAGTCAGGCTGGGAACCAAACAGTGCAAGAGAAGTCCTGGTGATGACTAAAATTCGAGAGCTGGCATGTAGGAGTTAGACTGTAGCAGTCTGTCTTCTACATGGAAATCCTGCCAAAACATGGTCCTGCTCAAGTGCAGGCTGCAGCTGCACTGCTGTGTTGGTTTATCCCTTGTCCCACTGTGGGGAGCAAAGGGAATCTCCTTGTTGAGTGTTGGGTGCCAGGCTTTGCTCCCATTCCCTGACCAGCATCAGGTGCCAGCTTGGGGAGCATGGACTCGTGTGGGTGTCTGTGCCAGCTGCCACTGAAATGCTGGTATGGATTAGAGCTGTGTGTACACATTCTGTGCTGCCTCTTTGTTCCTTTCACATGGCAAGGAGCTTGCCAAACACACAGGAATCTTATTAATTGCATTCAAAGCAGCTTTCAGGAAAACAACTGCTCTTGAAGATGGTTGTGTTGAGATCAGGCCTGCTGGAGGAAGTTTGGTGCAATGAAGATATTCTCTCAGCTGTTAAGAGATGTTTGGCACAGAGCAAGAGGGATGACTTCCTATAGAGGAGTTTTTTGGTGCTCTCAGGTCTGTCTGAAGTTCAGATTCCTGGAGCCAAAATCTTTCTCTCTGTTTACCTTTTCAGGGAGAATGATGTGGGATTTTCTCATTGGGACAGTTTTATTTGGGCCTTTTCCTCTCTTATCAATGCGATTAAAGGCTCAGAAATAACAGGGAAGTTTAAATGGTGGAGATGTTAAACCAAAGGGTTTATCTTCTTAGTGTCTGAACTTTGACCCAAGTATTTGAAAGGGAGAAAGAATGAATAAGAGGCTGTTACTAAGAGGAATTAGTTTGTGCTTCTAGAGCTCTGTCCTGGGACTTGTTGCAAAGCAGTCAAAGCCATTCAGTCCTCCCCTGTAATCCTGTACTTACCAAACTCAGAATAAACTCTGTTCTATGAGTATTTGTGTGGCTCTTATTTTCTAAAGCAACTTTGCTTCTAAGGTTTCACAACTGTCATGTTTTGCTCATCTGGAGGGAGGCGAGTGTTCTGCTTTGTGTGGATCATATGTAGGGAATCATAAGGAAAGCAGTGTGGTGTATGAAATGTCAGAGGTCAGAGACTTGTATTGCAGCCCAAAATCCAGACTGAAACCCAACCTGCTGAGACAGTGCAGGAACTGTCCAGCCAAGTGAGAGCTGCTCATGTAACCTGGGCCAGGACCTTCTGGAGAGATCCAGCAGAGCTGCTGCTCTTAGCTTGAAAATGATCTGATTTTTGTTCTGCCCCACATGAGCTGAGGCCAGGACACCTTGCCTTGTTACTCTGGCTTCCATCTATTCTTCCAGCAGGCCTTTGTTGGCACCAGATGGCACAAAGAGAGCTTTGGGTACTGTTGTTATTTTGGATGCTCTGACAACAAAATTTAACGACTGTAGAAATTTTCCTTCGTTGCAGAAGATGTTCCAGCCCAGTGAAGTATTTCTGGGTTCTCAGATCTGAGCAGTATTTCACTTTTCCAGGCTGGCTTTCAGAAGTGCTATTCCTGTTTCTGATGCAGAGCCCTATGCTGTGGAAAAGGAAGATGGCCTGAACAGTGTTGCATTGCTTTGTAGTTATGTTATGGAATTTTTGGAAAGTTTTTTTTTTTTGGTTTTTTTTTTGGTTTTTTTTGTTTTTTTTTTTTTATCATTGCACTTCTAGTGCCAAACACTTTGTGGTTTACCCTTTCAGATTGCATCCCTTTACTGTTGCCTTTGGCAACAGTTGCTGTTTTGCTCACTTATGAGTTCTGAAGACTTAACTCTGCTAAGTTAGAACTCTTCCTTTTAAGTCAGTGGTTTAACTTCTTCATCCTCAAACTGTGCTCATCTATTTTTGCTTCAGAGAGACCTGTGTGAATTTTCTTCATTTGATTATGCTTCTTTTGAGGTCTGCATCCCCTTTTTCAGCTACAAGAGGCCAGAGTATATTAATCTTTACATCTTCTGCAGAGGAGAATGTTCTCTTTTGTTTATTTTCTTGGTTTTTCCTCTGTTCTGTCCTGAGAAACATTTGTGAATGCCTCTTACAAAATAAATTGTGTAGTATTAAGTACTTTAAATGATTTCTGGGAAATAATGCTGCCAAGTGAATGCCTGTAAGAGACTGAGAAATGATTTTAGGGTAAGAATTTTACTATGTGTTGAAATTCTGTGCTCTCCCTGGTAGTGATTTAAGCTTGTGGCTAAGAGGAACTGTGATAGAGAGAAAAAAACAACACAACTCAAACCAAAGATCATAGGAAAAATACTAGTGGGAGCAGTGACAGGACAGATCAACTGGTCATTTGGCACACTGACTCGGTTATTTCATTAGATAATGAATTCAGAATTAAAATCCCCTCTTTACTTCAAGCTTCCTACTCAGTTGTTTGAGCTACACATGGGGGATGCTCATCTTTGACCCTCAGGGCTCCTAAGCTGTGCACATTTAACAAGTTTTTTTCTTGGAGCACTTAAATCTGGTGCAAGTACCCTTTATCTTCTGTAGCCCTTATGAAGTTTTTCACTCTCTTCCCCTTTCCCCTGCATTTTGTAATAAAGCTTGATTAATTTCTTTGGGACTCTTCTGGATGCAGCACTGTGTGCTCATTGATTCAGGACTGGCAGTGCCTTATTCTAAATTTTTTGGGGACAGCTGTGTGTCACTCAAAATGGGTAAAACCCAATGGATTTTCCTACAGTATCCCTGAGGTCATCTGTGTTTTCTTACTTCCTGATGCTCCTTTCATCTTTCCTACTTTCTCCTGGTTCTCTGTTGCTTTGGAGCTTGAGATTGAAGGGTTAAAGGTAAATGTCTTACTGGCAGTGATTTCCTCCTAACTACCACTCAAGCTTTCTATCTCAAATGAAATTAAAAGAGCTGCTTATCTGCCCATACAAGTGGATGTCCTTTTCTCTGCCCTCTCCCCAGGTAGTAAATTTGTCCTTGGCTTCTTCTGGCAAAGTTATTACTTCAGCTGAATTATAGCCATGGTAATAATGTGTCTTTAACTTCTCCAGTACCAAGTAGGGCAGCTGTATTCCGTGGCAGAAGCCAGTAAAAATGAAACTGGTGGAGGTGAAGGAGTGGAGGTCCTGGTGAATGAACCCTACGAGAGAGATGGAGAGCGTGGGCAGTACACACATAAGATCTACCACTTACAGAGGTATGGGAACCAATTCATTCCCAGAGTTGGGCAAGAGGAACCAGAGGGGTTGCAGCAACTGTAAATCACAGATTATGTAAAGGCTGAAAGATGGAGAAGGCAGGAACATAACAGCACCTGGGAGTGAACATCACTGGGACACCCACCCTCCCCTGTAAACGTGGCTGTTGTCCCAAGAAAATCTGGCTTTGAGCTTTTCAAAGCAAGTCTGATCCTGCCACCCAGTATTTTCATACTTGAATTTGGCTAAAGAACAAAACATCTAGATTTCCTCCTGTTTTCAGCCTATTTTTTTCCATTTGTTTTGTCTTTCATTACGTAAAGAAGATTTATATTAACATGTCTGATTTAGCATTTCTGGAAAACACCATAATGGGGTTGGGGAGAGTCCTACCAATTCCAGAACTGTGAGAATCTCTAGTGTTTGCATCCCAGGTGATGTCCTGCCTGTCTCAGTTCTCTTTACATATAGTCCTTATTAATGCCTTTCTTCCTATTTCCAAATTCTGCAGCAAAGTGCCAACATTTGTGAGAATGCTGGCCCCTGAAGGAGCTCTGAATATACATGAAAAAGCATGGAATGCCTATCCCTACTGCAGAACTGGTGAGTGCCTGAGGAAGGACTCTGGATTCTCCTTTTTTGTTTTCTGGGGGCAGAGGAGAAAAAAGGTAAGGGAGGGTATAAGGAAAGATGCAACCAGTAGAGAAGCTGTTTCAGCTCTTAAAACTTGCATTTCTGTTCTCTAAGCCCTTTATGTGGTCAAGAAAAGCAAAATACAGTGCTGAGGGAGTTAAAAGAACTGCCTTTGTCTGATGTGCTCCTATGAGTGACCTTCCTCTATGGGAGGAAAAAAACAGACCAAGAAATATCTGTTAGTCTTCCTAAAGGAATAGCTGTGTAACACTAATGAAATAAATACATGAGGGGTGATTTTATGTGCTCAAGTGCAGCATAGCCAGGTGGAAAAAGTGGAACATGGTTGGGAAGTGGAAGTGGAAAAAAGGGGAACAGGGCAGATCTCAGGCACTCTTGCTTAGTGCAGGTGAAGGGAACAAGTGTTAAGTGATGGGTATTTGCTCACTTGCAGGATCTGAGGTCAGGGAGGGTTGAACAGAGAATGCTGCAGTTGAAGTGAATCCATCTGTAAAAGCAGGGGTGAGGCTCTGGGAGCTGTGTAAAGTGCTGAAATAATGTCAAATCTATTTTCTACAGGAGTGGTTAGTATTTACTTACTCAAGTTACCAGCCACGGTGTTTAACCACTACAGCTTCTCTGGTTTTCACTGCTGTAAACTGAAAATTTGACTTTGCCTCCAAACTTATCTAGTGTTTTTGGCAGCATTTTGTGCTGTTTGTATCTCTGAAGGATACATTTTCTGCTAGTTGGTAGTGGTACAGTTGCTATGGGAATGAAACACTTAAAAATTCCAACTGTTCTTGAAACTCAATATATAAAACCCCCCTTTTTTGACAATTTACTTAAGTGAATTTTCAATGAAGTGTCTTAAAGAAGGAAAAAGCTCTGCAGTGGGAGAGGATAGTGTTATTTCAGTCTGTGAAATTACATGCAGCAGTCTAGTGGAATAGATATTTCAAATACAAAATTCAGATACTGCCATCAGCTTTAGAATAAATTTTTATTGTCTCACAGAAGACGTGGAAACAAAGTTGTTCACAACCTTTTTAAGCTTTATGCAGTTTTCTTGCTGCATGTTACTTAAATTAGTTAGTAAATGTCTAGTTTATTTCCATGTTAAGCCCACTGAGCTGATTTAAATGCCTGGCTGTATCCTCCACCTCCTCTTTTCCTTCTCCACCAATTTCTGAAACAAAGGTATGGAGTTACTTCTTTTGTTATTCTTAAGCTGCTTATCCTTCAGTTACACATGAATAAAATTCTACTGAAGAATGAGATACTAAAATCAAGTACAAGACTTTTCAACACAATCAAAGAAATGTCAGATTTTAATATGCTAGTAATGATAACAAAGCCAAAAAAACCTCTTCAGCTGCAATAAACAGCAACATAATATGAGATAAAAAGTGCTTTGTTGTGGGGGTTGGAGCAGAAGGCAGTTTTGATGCGGAGGCTGATAAATCTGTTTAGAGAATCTGCCAGCCTGACATGAAGCAAGAGGAGCTTGGAAAAGTTGCTGAAACCTTCCTTTGGCTGGGATTGGGCAGGAAGGGAGAACCCATGGATGTGAGAGAGAGAACCTATGGATGTGAGAGAGAGAACCTATGGATGTGAGAGAGAGAACCTATGGATGTGAGAGGGAGAACCCATGGATGTGAGAGAGAGAACCTGTGGTTGTGGGAACCCATGGATCTGAGAGAGAGAACTCATGAATGTGAGATCCCATAGATGTGAGAGAGAACCCATGGATGAGAAAACCCATGGATGAGAGAACCCATGGATGTGAGAACCCTTGGATATGAGAACCCACAGATGTGAGAGGGAACCCTTGGATGTAGAAACCCATGGATATGGCAGAGAGAACCCATGGATGTGAAGAGAGACCCCACGGATGTGAGAACCCATGGATGTGTTGTGGGGCTGCCTTGGGCGTTACCATTTTCCTTTGGATGCACTTGGGTGTTTTGGTCAGGTGTGGGGAGACTAGGATGCCCTGCTGTGAATCTTTGGGTAGCAGAAAATGCTGTGCTGGCTTAGAGCAGCCAGGATTTCAACCCTCTCACTAGAATCTGAAATTTAAGAGCCAGGGACCCAGCAGGAACTAAACCTGAGTGTAGGAGTTGCTGGTGCTTTTGTCTGTGCCCTCCTGTCCTAGGTGGTGTTGCTGTGCTGTCCCTGGAGCTTGCTTGTTCACAGAGCCTTCTAAACTGCAATAAAGCAGTGCTTTTACTTAGTTGTGCCTCGTGGTCTTCTTTTTTTTAATTATATGTCTGCATCCTTCTTACATTTCCCTAATCTCCTCTGAGAAGCTCAATTAATATACATATTATTGGCCATTATCAAAGTAGTACTGGAGATTGAGAGAATTTAAATGCTTAGCTTATAACTTTCTGCAGTTCTGCACACTTCCTTGTGCTGTAATATGTTGTTTTTATGTACTTTGAATGGAAGCCTTGCTTAGTTCCTTTGAGAGTATAAGCTGTAAGTGAGGTTGTTTTTATTGTATGGTTTCACAACTTCTGCAGTAAAAATGAAGTGAGGATTGTCTAATAGTTGTACCTATGGGCTGGTGCCAAGGGGAACAGTGTTCTTCTCTGCAGTCTGACTTAAATATTAATGTTGCTTAAATGTTTTTAGAAATGCAATTTGATGTGTGTTCCACACTGAGTGTAACCATGGCCTGTGGCCAAATGTCAAGAAACTGAGAAGTTATAACTGCAGTTGAAACATGTAGGAGTTGCTGCTGTAATGCCTCAATAAACAGGTCCTAATTTGTAGCAAGCTGAGCACTGAAGTTTCAGTGGGCATTTCTGAAGAGATTAATTTGTTTCTTTACAAATGAGGAGTCTTCCCCACAGGGAAGAAGTTAAGGAGGTGAAGGAACCTGTTTTGAGGCAGCTGCACAGTCACAGCACACAGTCATGGTGAAGTGGGAAGGCCTTGGTTTATAATTATTGCTGGTTTATTTTGTTGGACTAGCAGGAAAAACCCCCATTTCCTTCTTGCAGAAATAATGAAATGTTCTTTGAGATGAAGTTCAGCCTTTGAAAAATTAGCCTCAGCTTGCTTTCTTGTTCTCTTCTCCAGCTCAATATGCCAATCTAAATAATTTGCTTTCTGTAAAATTGCTGTAAAAAGCAATTTTCACATGCTAGGGGTTTAGAAATGTCCAAGCCCAGCAGTGGGTAATTAAGGCAGCTGGATGTGCATGATAGGTGATTTGGGATGGTAACTGCAGTATGCTGGGTTGGAAACTCAAAAATTATTACAATAACTTTAAAACCAAATTGCTTCTTAGTCAAACCCTGAAGTCAGACTTCAGAACAGACCAGCAAACTTCACCTCCAGCTTCAGACTTCCTTCTGCTTGAGTAGAATTGCTCAGGTAGAGCAGATGCTGAATGTTACAGGATCTTTAATTGCTTTTCTGCGTTGAATAATTGAGCCTTGGTGTCCAGGGAGTTCAGTTACCACGAGCAGCAGAGATGCAGAGGGTCTGGTTACTCCAGGCAGGGCTGCACTGGCCTGGAATCCAGCATGGGTTTCCTTTGGAACTATGGAGAGGCTCCTTATCTGCAAGCTGAGAAAGGATTGGTAAAATGCTGTCAGCTGAACATACTTATTCCATCTTCTCATCCAGCTGGCAGCAGGCCAGGGAACACAAGTGGCAGTGCATAATTAATTGCTGCTCCTCTGGGTTTCTCTGAGAATTTCCAGAGGAGAAGGGGTGAAGTTAGCTGGGTTTTATCAACTTCCATGTCTTTTCCCTCAGAGGTACCTGGGAAGCTGGAGCTGTCCGATTTGGCTGAGAGTGGGAGGAGGGCAGTGGTTGCTGTGCAGTCTTTTCTCACTAAAGTACTGTGTCTCTTTCTTTCCATGTGTTGATTCCTTGGACCAGTTATTACAGTAAGTATTGCTTTTACTGATAATCTCTGGAATAATGTCTGAAATGAAGTGTTCTGGGTAGAAGAAGCTCTTTAACCTGAGCTAAAGACTCTTTAGCTTTTATCATTGTAAGATCACATAGATTAACTGCCTGTACCAAGTGTGGTGTATCCATGTGACAAAGCCCAGCTTTACAAATGGGTACAAGCCCTTGCTTGGGTAAACTGAGTAAAAGCCAGTTAGCTCCTGCCATGCTGTCCCCTTGATTAATCTCTTCTGAATTTGATATTTCCTTTCTGCATGCTGAGTGTTTCACTCGCTTGTGCTTTTGTTTCTGCTCCCCTGAGGGAGGATAGGGTTACCTTTGGGAGTCCTTTGCTACCCACAGTAATAGTGAGAAATGGAAAGTTTTTTGCTTACTTGGCAGAACTGTGCTTCTTGTCCCTTCCCTTTCAGTGTCAAAAGCTCTCAGCACATCAGTTTAATATTGTTATTAATTTGAAGACTTGCATCAAAATATGTACTCAGTGCTAGCTCAATGATCTCTGTGGAAAGACAGTTTCTGCCTAGCTAACTTATGTTACCCCTTCTAAACTCTAAATAGAGTGGCAGATATTGTCTTTTAAAGAAAAAGCTGTTTATAAACTCCAAATGTTTTACTATAACAATAGAATTTATGTGGTTTTTTTGTGAACAGCTTGTGGTTTATTTTATCCTAAGTAATTAATGATCAATCAATTTTGCTGAAAGCGATGATCTGGTTGCAAGTAATTCTGAAATTCTCTAAATTGGACCTCAGTCAAATGGAAAGTTCATTCTTTGAATTAGTTCTTTGAGCTGACTCTTCTAATGCTTATCTCTGTAATAAGAAGACAAATTATATATTTGTCTTAAATAATTATATATCCTAGAATAACAAGAAGCTTTATTTTGATGACAGAATGAGTATATGAAGGATGACTTCCTGATCAAAATTGAAACCTGGCATAAATCAGATCTCGGAACACAAGAGAATGTGAGTACTTGTGTTGTGTGTTTTACTCATCTCTTTAATGCCACAGTGCAGCTTTCTGTGCTGGGTTAGAGAAGTGCTGTGTGGAGCTGTCTATTCACCACGTTTCTGCATTTCAAACGTTTGTCTCACTACCAAGGCAGACTCCCTTCTGTTGGCTTCTCACATAAACTGAATCAAATTGACCCCTAAACACTTGTTCTGTGTGAGCACCTTTGCTTCTTTAGAAACTCTCCCAACTGTGTGCTTACCTCTCTGCAGGTGGGAAGGGGAGCACTGGGTGTCTGCATTTCCATCTGGCTTTATATTTTCTTAGGCTGGGAGTGTTGTGTCACTGAAGCAGCTCCTTGAGTGTTGTTTCCCTGCAGGTGCATAAACTGGAGCCAGAGGTATGGAAGAGTGTAGAAGCCATTTATATAGACATTGCTGATCGGAGCCAAGTACTCCCCAAGGTATGGTAGGTGGGTAACAGCTCCCTGGGGAGAGGCCTTGTGCTAAAAGAGGGGATCATGGACAAACTGTGCTTCCAGGGATGGTCACAGGCAGCAGCACAAAGTGAGAGGTTGGCCAGAGGAGGAAAGGCCTTCCTTAAAGCTGCTCATGCGAGCCAGAGGGAAGGCTCTTTTAAAAACTGTCAGCACTGTCTGTAAAATGTGTTGCCTGTGCATGTAACAGTGTATTTCTTCAGCAATGCAGCTGACTGAAGTGCTTGAGTAGCAGGAAATGGCACTCCCCTTTCCATACAGGATGTCTCCTAAACATCCCCCTTTTTGATACTTCACAAGTGTGTCTGAAAATGGTGTAGCCAATACTTGGTTCTAAGAATCACTCCAGTTACTGTGAGAAAGAAAGTGGTGTTTCTTTACTGGGAAGAAAAATCAACTGTATAAAAATGGAATGTTGGTTGAGTTTCCTGACTTTCAGACAGTATTTTATACCATTTTAATGGTAGTACTGTGAGTCTGACTCTACTTTTCTTCTAGTGAGCAGCATGTGAGCATCACACTGATACAGTGCTGTGAAAAATCCTAGATAGCACAGCTGCTTTCTGTAACAGCAGTGTTTAACTCCCAAAGAGCAAGTGGCCACAGGAAACATATCCTACAGAACTTCTGATAGCCTTACAAAGGTCACATCAGTTTGTTACACTTTTATATAGCTCTAGGACACAACACAGTGGGTAGATACATTTCCTTGGAGAGTGTCTGACCTAAGGTCAGGTCTGAAAACAGTAGTTCTTGATAAAGCAGAGGTTAGTCTTGGCCCAGGAAAATAAATCCTTTGTGTGAAAGAACAGCTGGAAAACAGTAGGATAATTTGTGTTTAATTTTGTGTCTGTCCGATAGGATTACAAGGCAGAAGAAGATCCAGCAAGGTTTAAATCTGTCAAGACTGGACGTGGACCTCTGGGTCCCAACTGGAAGGTTTGTATTGATGAGTTCAGGAACTGTATTAGGACAGATACTGGGGCTTGGAGCCAAAGATACATCTGGAGAACACTGGAATCCCTTCTGCAGAAGGAAATGCAGAACTCAGTCCTGAATCTGTTCTGATTTTAAAAGAAATTGAAAGAGCTTGGCACAAAGAGAATGAGTTCCAGGAAATCTCTAGAGCTGTCTGGTACTCAGCCCAAGGGTTCACCCAAGAGAATTCAAGTATGAGATAGCTGAATAATGACCAGCAATGTTTAACCTTTCACTGAAATCCTTGGAATCTGAAGACATTACAAGTGCAGATACAATACCAGTATTTAAAAGGGACCTTGGGTGGAATTTGGGGAGCTATTGGTGTGCAAGTCTGATTTCTAGCAGGAAAACTTGGCAAAAGCTGAGGTTGATATGATTCATTTGGGAAGAGTGGTTATGGGTCATGTAGTGGGAAATAGGAAACCTTATGGAGTTTTCTTTAAGACTTTATAATCATGACTCAGATGATATAATCTAATTCCAAAATGTTTTAGGTAGGGACTTTATCAAGAGACTTTTAAGGAAGCAAAGTAGCCGTGGTATAACAGTGAAGATGCTGAAAGACATAATTTTAATGGAAGAAAAAGTGGACAACAGAGGAAAGGAATAGTCTGTTCTCAGAATGGAGGGAAAGCCACCTGTGAAGGAAACCAGGGTCTAGTTTCATCATGCTTTGAAAAAGGGTGAGCAAAGGTGTGACAAAACTTGTCAATAAAATATAAGGAGGGTGTAACGATGCAAGAGGATTGTGGGGAATTGTGGGAAGACTTCATAGTCAGGACTGAAGGAGCTGCTTTTCTGGAGACACTTGGCTAGGGGCTTAATGTGAATATCTTTGTGTTTTTGCAGAAGGACCTGGGGAAGCAGTCAGATTGTCCATACATGTGTGCTTACAAGCTGGTAACAGTCAAGTTCAAGTGGTGGGGTCTGCAAAATAAAGTGGAGAACTTTATACAGAAGGTAAGGTCTGTGATGGGGAAAGATGTGGAAATGGGGTACATTTCATCACCCACCTGCTGTACAGGCAATGGCTCTGCCTGAAATTCTGCTCTCGGTTAAAACTGGGTTCAATTTGGTGCTAATCCAAGGGCAGGGCTGGCTGATTGTTCTGTGAAGTGGCTGTTGAACATTTTCACTCTAATGTGTGAAGGTAAATTGTCTGGTTTGTGTTGTTTAATAAATCAGAATTGCAGTGTCTTCGTTGTTAGTTTGTGATGCATTTATACTGGAATTACATTGTGTAAGGGCAAAACATGTTTGTGGGGAGATGGCTCCAGCTATTTGTTCCTGATCAGCTGAGGATCTTTCTGACAAGTCCTGGAGCTCATTTTCCTCACATTTTCCTCTCCTAGTCTGCTGCTGTAAAAACCTGTGTTAAAAAATAAGCAGATGGTGGGAAACTTGATTAACTTAAAACATAAATGGTATTTTGAAAAGAGCTTTTTTGTGGCAGAGTCTAATCCATGAGCTGGAGCAGGATGCTACACCTGGGAATGGTGGTGTGGTTTTCCAGGCAGGGCTGTGTTCATATAACTCCTGTGCCTCCAGATCACAGAGACTTCTCAGTGGTTAATATTGATAAACCACAGAGCTCCTTCTGCAAAAGCAATTCTTTGGTGATACAATCTAAAGGTAGCTCCAAGGCGGAATGACCATGGTGCTGCAGGATTTCAAATGCCTCTAAAAAAACCTCTGAATAAAGCAGTGTCTTCAATCTCTTTCTATTTATGAGTATCTACAGGTTTGCATCAAAGTATTCAAGCTGCTTTTGATGAGATATGAAACCATAATTGGTCAAACTGAAGTGTCCTTCCTTAATGAAGTCTTTCCAAGAGGCATTGTATATCCCTATCTAATATAATGATTTTGCCTAGCTTATCTCCTATAAAATGGAAATAAATTGCTCCAAACCTGGAGTAGTTTGTGCACATTAGTCACCTCTGCTGGAAGGTTTTCAGCTGTGAAAAACAAGTTTAGGCATTTTTCAGGTCACTTCAAAAGGGAAAAAAAAACCAAGACAGGTGCATGTCAGCCCTTTACATTTCCCAACTTCTAGTTTTTAGCAAGTTAAGGGTTTAAAAAATACTTGTTTCTCCTTTTTTCTGCACTTCCAGACCAACTTCCATGCTTTAAGTAAGCCCAACTTGGAGCACTTTATTCAGTCAGAACAACACTGTCAAATCAAAGGAAATTCACTAATTCTTTCAGTGCAGTGTGCAGACTGCTGTCTAGGTTTGGGGAGAAAAAAAAAAGGCATTTCTCTGGGGATTCAAGGCTCTAGATTAGATATTCTGATAAAAGAATAAAAATTAGCTATCTCCAGTTTCCAATTGTGGCAGCTAGATGGAAAGGTGGGCGAGGGAGCTGATTCTACACATCTCTGAAAATTGTTACAATGCTGTGAGCTCCATGGTAATTGCCCTGTGACTAAGCTGGTTTGTGTTTTATTCCTCCTTTTGCAGCAAGAAAAGAGGCTCTTCACAAACTTCCACCGGCAGCTCTTTTGCTGGCTGGATAAGTGGGTTGATCTGACTATGGAGGACATCCGTAGGATGGAGGAGGAGACCAAGAGACAGCTGGATGAGGTCAGTGGCAAAGCAGGGCAGGTGTGGGTTGTGTGAAAAACTGCTTCTCTCCAGCACAGCAGAGAGGAAAGGCTGCTGCATTGTCAGGGCATGGTGTGAATTGTGCTCCTGCTATTTAGGTCATGCTGTGTGTGCTTTGAATGATTGGCCATGAGTCCATCGTGCTGGCATCTCCTCCTAATCATTATAGAATTCTCCTTCTGTTTGTTGTTGAGCCAGTAAATGTATTGACCCACAGGTAATGAGGGGCTGAGTGGCAATGATTCATTTACTGCCTCAATATCTTCTGTTTGGTTTTACTCAAAGCTGAATGGTCGATTTTATCCTCATTAGTTGCCAGAAACCTGTTGAGTAAAAGGTTTTTTTAGCTCTAATTACCATAAGCAGGTAGTGGGGGTATGTAACAGCATTTTTACTCTGAGAAACACAGATTTGGTAATAATGAGAACCTTGTTCTGTGGTTTGTGTCCTGCCCTGCACCCTTCTCTCCCTTCATGCCCCAGGATATTTCATTATAGCTTCATGTACACTCTTGCCCTTTGGATAATAGTTCCAAATCTGTTGCCAGCCCACACTTTAACCAGAAATGATGCCTGTATGTGCATTTTACAATCACTGATTTGAGGTGCTGAGATATAATCGATGTCTTACACACAGGAGGTGTTCCATACTGATAAATTTTGAGATAACACACACGAGAATCGGTACTTGAACAATTCTTTCCTCTTTCAGATGAGAGAAAAAGATCCAGTGAAAGGAATGTCGGCTGCAGATGACTAATATGACTCCTTCCTTGTGCACTGTAGGTATCAAGAGATTTGACAAAAAATCTGCATTGCTCTATTTGGTTTAAAACCCTCAACATTTGTGTGAGAAATGATCCTGTTCATAGCTTCTGACAGGGAAATCTGTGCTATTGATTGTTTTTATAGTAAACTCATTTCACTGACAGCTTGATGAGCGAGGTTTACTGCCTCATTTCAGACTATTCTAAAGAAAAGTCTGAGTGAAAAGCGTAAGAGAAATGTGTTAGAATATTCTGTAGTTTACTGCTATTATTTCTGTAATGCATATGCTACTTCCCATGACTTGCAGAGAAGCTTTTGTCAGTCTCAAAAAAGTAAGTTAGACATGCAAATACTTAGAATACAGTTGAAAATTGAGAATTCCAAGCATTTTGTGAGGAATTTGTTTTTTCCATTGCTTGTTATTAGTATTTACTGATGGGCCAAGGCTTGGAGTAACACCTGGGCATTGCAGGAGAAGCAGCAATGACCATTTTAAAGCTTTTGACTTGTTTTCTTTCTATTCTGTTAAATATGTCATCAGTTTGAGGGCTGGTTTTGCCAAATTTTTCTTAGACACTGCAAAAATGTTGTATAGTGTTAGAGAGGTAAGAAAGCAAGGAGAAAGAAGGGATTGTCCATTTATATTAGCAAGAACAGGTTATTAGGGCAGTAAAATGCCATCCTTGGAAGGAATGGGGTGGGGCAGAACCACATCTTCCTGGAGTACTCACTGTTTACTTCTGTTTGCCCTCTGTTATCTCCTGGTTATTTGGTGGTATGTGGGGAACACGAGGAGAAGAGGGAGTGTCTTTTGATAGAAATATTTTAATTTTTGAATGCAGCTTCAACCACTTGATTTTCTTCTCTCCCATTTCCTGCGGATCAGTGCTGCAGTGTAACCCTGCATTGTCTGCCTGGCGACGGCGTGACTCACATTTGCTCTCTCAAGGTTGTCTGACACCTCCCTTGGCACACTGCTCTTCCAAAGCCATCCTGAAACGTTTCCCTGTTGTCTCTTTGTTTCAGTTTGCAAGACAGTCATCAGGAAGGCCCAGGGAATCCACACCCTCGACTGACGGACCATCTCTGGATCAAGCCTTTCTCTGTCCAACTGGCAGGCGATTTTAAACCTCCCATAGCTAATTCTAGATGCCCCTTAATATTGTGAGCAAATAGACAGTCTGGTACTAAGCACTCCAGTGTTAGCACGTGTATCCCAAGGAGTTCCCTCCTCGGGGCGTGTGACTTAGAGATCGCTGTATTTACAACTCCTCCCTCCTCTTTTTTTCATTGTGTTCAGACCAATTTCCATGTGGCCCTGTTTGATTTCCAAGTGACATTTTTAGCTCAAATAGTCTTGTGATGTGGTGACTTAGAATTTTTTTGTTTTGGTTTGTTTTTTGGTTTTTTTTTTCCAAGTGGGATAAGCTGCCACCTTTGTTTCTGCCCAGTTCTTCAATGTTCTTTGAATGTCTGTTTGGAGAGGAAAATAGTCCATATTTAAAAGTGCAAAACTCTTCCACAAAATGTTCTGCTCTCACCCTTGCTCCCAGAGGGAGATATTTAACGGCAGGTAACCTGAGTACAAAATGAGGAGCAGCCAGTGGGTTCTTGGTTTGTGGTGAGTTGGGATTTGTGGCTTCTGCAGGGCATTACTTTGTTCTGTCTTAACAAACATGAATTAAAGACTGTCCAGAAGCTACAGTCAGGCCCTGTACTGGGGCATTCAGCACTTACCTGTTGATTTTCCATTTTAAGGGTCTCTCTGGCCCATGTAGCTCTGTTGTCCTCCAGCTGTGTGTGTCAGTCTTACAGAATCTTTCTTGACACATGTTGCAACTTCCTGGTTCTTTATTAAGACTTCCCATAACTTATAAAGCTAGAATGGTTTTGACTAATAATAACGATGTGATTCTCCCTGGACAAATTGGAATGTTGCAAAGGCTGGTGTGCAAGAGAGGTGTTGGCATCTGGTTATATCCAGGTGCCTGGGGTGGTGGTTCTGCTCAGCAATAATATTCTTCCCATTGCAAGACTGACTAAAGTATCTCCTTTTGTGCTGTAAGAAAAACTACTTATAAAGACCTGCAGTTTTCTAGGATATCTGTTGGTTATTATAAATCATAGAGGATACTGTTAATGTAAAGAGCTCTCGTTATGTAATGAACTGAAGTATTTACTGTAACTATCCTTATGTTGGTATCAGCTTTAGACAATCAACTCAGCAGAACAGAATCAAGGAAATGCTGCTTTCTTCAATACATATGAGGAAAAAAAAATGCTACTTCTTTGCTTATCCCCAAGGCCCAATGCTTGATTTTTTTTCCCTCCCCTAGTAGTAGTTGTTGTGGACAAATTCGATTGGGGAGGCTAATTATAGATAAATTAATTAACAAGAATTTATTAAGCAAGCGGTATTAACCAAAAGAACAGCGCTGGGCGGCTGGGGAGCTTCTGCTCTGCCATGGCGCACCTTCCCCCTTTGACCTTTTTGTTTTTATAGTCCCTTTTTTCTCCCAGTTGACATATTTTCTCTCAATGCACCGGTGCAATTGGTCGCTGGGGGGTCTTTTTTTCTGCCCTTGGTGGTCATAGGAATGAAGGCTTCTCATCTTCCTTGCAGATTGTCCTTGGCCTAAAAGTTAACTTGTACATAATTAGTTACACAGTCTTCTATGCTAGTTGCATTCCCTACTCAGTTCAAATTTTTCTCTCCTTTAACACTCGTTTTGATGAACAAAGACCTTTTTATTTATTACGGTAATAACTTTATTTTCCACTTCTGTGTTTGGCAGCACTAATGTGAAACTCTGAATGCCAAACACTCGTGGGTGTATCACCACTTTTGAGGAGTCTTTTTAGCATTCTGCAATACACTGACTCCTCCAGCCCTTCCCACTCGTGCAAGCAGGAGATCCTGAAATGATCCCATGCCTTGCTGAACAAGGCTGTGCTGGGATCAGAGCTGTTTTCAGTGTGAGAGAAGATGGGAATGCTCTGGAGGGAGAGGATGGCATTGGTTTCTGGGGAGGGGGCAGTTTATCCCTTTATTTTTAGTTTGTTATTTTGCCTTACTCATGTCTAAGTGCAATAAGCTCTGAATTGTACCAGTAACTCTGGCAGGCTCTTCTCAGTGACCTCAGACGGTTCTGCGGGGTTGGGGTGGGGTTTGAGGGGTTTTAGCAATCTCACCAGGCAGAAGTAAAACAAGTTTATTGTAAAATAGGTAAAGAAACTAAATTTTAATCTTTGAGGCTATTTGGGACCAGGATGTTTCATGACATGTTGTATAGCTGTTCCAGAAGTATTCTAGGAGTGTAGGCCCCAGTTAGAGTCCTTTCAGTTTGAAGTATTTTTAACAGAGAATTTATGCACTGACTCCTGTTCATGTTTGTTGGCTATGTTTTGAGGGATTCTTACACTTGAGGGCAACCTGAGAATACACATAGCACACTTGTTCTTTCAGTTTGTGTTATCCAAGAGGCTTTCCATCTGATGACACTAATCGCCGTGGAAGCAGATTGTAACATTCCACCATTGCAATCCTTTTTTTGATCCTCTGATTTCAGAGTAAGAGCTTTTACACAAAGCTTTCCTGATTAGTGGAAAAACTTGGAGGGAGGCGGGGGGAGGGGGGGAACTGCAGGACCTTCATCCTGAATACTCCCCCTCTGCTCCCTGCCCTTTGTTTTCCGTCCTTCCAATTTGATCCTAAGTGAAAACATCCCTCAGCCTTTGGATAGACAAATCCTGTAAAGACCCTTCAGTCTCGACGCTTGGTTCCTGCTAGTGAGCATAGCAAAGATCACGCAGCGTTCCCGTGCCGTATCTTCCATCAGCTTTGGCGAGAACCCCCGGATCTGCCGGCTCCCGGCGGGATCCCATCCTGAGCGGCTGGATGCGCTGGGATCGCCACTGCCATCCAGGCCCGCTGGGTTTGGGGCTCCAGGGGCAGCCCCCTCGGCCCAGCCTGGCTCAGGCTGGTTTGCTGACAGGGCCGCTCGCCCCTCATATCCCGCAGCCCTCTGGGTTCATCCCGCCACGTCCCGAGGGGTTCTCCGCGCTCTTTTCCTTTGGCGACACACACTTCGTAGAATGGGTTAGATTATCTCGTCGTTTCTTTAAATGTGAGTTTGTGCCTTTTTTGTCTCCTAAATCTTCCAATACAGGCATATTGGAAACGAAATCTAATAAAATACTAGACAGAGCCTGTCGCTTCCGCCTCCTTTTTTTGGGGTTTTTTTTTGGGGGGAGGCCTCGGTGCCATCATCCTAAAGGCTGCCGTGGGTCCTCCCGGCCGCCAGGGGGGGCGCGGCCGTGCCCGCCCCCTCACGCGCGCCGCTGGCGCTGAGGGCGGCGCGGAGGCGGCGCCGGGCCGGGCCGGGCCGGGCCGAGCGAGGGGAGCGCCGGGGGCTCCGCCGGCCCTTCCCCGTCCCTTCCCCGTCCCTGGGCAGCGCTTCCCTGCGGGAACCCGCGGCATGGAGCCCGCGGGCCTTCCCACCAAGGAGTTGAGGTGAGGGAGTGGGCGCGGGGCTGAGGGCGGCGGCTCCGAAGAGTGGCCCCCAAGCGCTTGCGTAAATTAGCGAAACTTGTGTGTGCGCGCTTATTCAGCGCAGAATTAAACAAATTGGCGGCGTTGCGTAGTCATATGAAATAGAGGAGAAAAGCTGATTTTCTGGTTTGGAAGGTTGGTCCTGGAGTGGTTCAGGGAGGCTTAGGGGGCATTTCTGGGTGTTGGGATTCCCCGGAGCTCTGTTTGTGTGTGATGAGGGCACTTCTGTCATGTCTCGAACTTGTCACTTTCCACGAGGAAGAAAAAGCTTGAGTAAACACTGAGCTTCTGCTTTTACGGTGTTTTAACGATGTGTCTTCGCTCTCTGTCGGTGTCCCGTCTGGGCTCGATTCCCTACAGAAACCTGCTTAGATGGGATTTGGGTAACAGCCTGTGACAGGAAAATTGAAACAGCCAAACTAACGAGCTGTCATGAGCTCAAATATCTTAAAAATCCTTTGGAGGCTTTACTATGAGCACTGTGACCCTGAGAAATTTCTCCGCTATTGAGTCACTTGAGGATTAGCAGCGGTGATGCTAAATAACGACTTTAGTAGGTTGCTTGTATTTAGGACAGTGTTTGTTTCTACCTCCGAGATCTGTGTTTTTTGTCAGTACTGTGGTCACTGGGCACCTTGAAGAACTGAATTTCTGTCTGTAATGACTGATGTCTTCCAACATGATTTCAGTTTTGTTTAATCAGGTAATTGTCTTACAAAATTAGTAACTGGAGAGCGTTCCCCAGTGATACATCTCCGGTGGCAAAATTAGATCTGCAGCCTACCTACTTTTTTTCCCCCTAGAAATTTGTTTTGGAGAGCTTTTGTGTGACTTCAGTGCAGTCTTACAAAGATACATTATTAGTTAGGGAAATTATGTATCACTTTAATCTATTGTGGAAGGTTGTTTTCCTGCTTTTCTGTGCACATTTCTGTGCACATCACCTTGAGCAGGCAGTTGATTGTGGGATAAAAACACAGCCTTAATAATGGGTACATTGATGGGATTCACTAATTATCAGTGTTTATAAGGTCATGATAGAACTCTAAGATGATGGAAAACTAACAATTTATTATTTTTTAAGCCTGTCTGTTGTGTAACACAACTGACAATAAAATGAATCTCTTTTTAGAAGCTCTGTTACTGAAATAACCACTTTGTAAAGAAACAATGCTGTGATGTGAATGTTGAGTCAGTGGCTTTGCTTGGTTCTGATCAGAACTTTGCATGTTTTGGAGCTGGAGATTACATTTCTCCTTGCCTGCAGACAGGCACATGATCCATTCAAACCGACAATAAATTCTTTTAAACCCTGAGCTCGTCGAATTAACCACATTAAATCTATTATGAAAAAACCAATTCACTGCGTGTAGTACACCGCGATTGCAGCTTTTGTAACAACCCAGCGAGTGCGCTGGGAACACCACAGGTATTTTTTTTTTTCCCCCAGCATTGCTGCACCTACATTTATCCTTTTGTGTTGGAAGCAATGCTGAATCCCACAAGATCTGGAAATCCCTTTTCAATCTCTTGATTTTAACTGGCCGGTCCTTCAGGGCGTAGCTTCAGCTTGGAGAGCAGATGGCCTCGAGCAGCGAGGACGCATTTCAGCACTGCGAGGGGCTCTCCCTGAGCGAGCCGGAGAGCGGGGCCAGCCTCCGCAGCCGCTCGGCCAGCCTCAGCAGCACCGGCTCCAGCGGCCGCCTGCAGCTCCGCCACAGGGTGGCCCAGCTGATGGCCTGCGTGGAGGACATCAGCTCGGATGACGAGATCCACGAAGAAGTGTCTCGCACCCTGGATGAAGCTTTCCTCATCTGGGGGAAAAAGCTGAAGGATAAGCGGCAAGAATTCAGGTTTTGCTGCCTCCAGTTGGTTGTTTTCGTGGTGGTGTCGGGGCCTGGCAAAATGGATTTCTGGTTGATGGAAAGAGATAGAAGTTCTGTGGGGAAATTAGAATGTTCTTAGAGTTGGTTGCCTGTCCCCATTTCAATTTTAGCACTGTATTTTTGTGGTTTCTGTTTGTTTTTAGACTACACTTAGTTACCTGGAATGTGGGCACAGCTTCTCCCCCTCCTGATGTCACGGGTTTACTTCAGCTCAACTCGACGGGCCCCACCATGGATATGTATGTTATAGGGTGAGTGGTATTAAAGAACTTGCTTTATGAGTTTATTGCAAACTTGCTGGGTCTCAGCATGGTCTGTTTTGGGCAGACTGATGTGAATCACTGCCTGGGAGATGGTTTAACACTATTGCTACTAGAGGGTGAAGACTAACGTAGCCTAACTAACAGGGGACTAACTTAGAGATTATTTATACCAGTTAGCTGCTGCTATGTGGTGACAGAATGCAGAATATCTTTTTTCTAAACACGCAAAAATTTTGGGCTGCTGTTTTTTTTTTTGTTAGCATGTTCATTTTGATATGAAAGTTATTGGAAATTCAGCATGTTTTAAGGGAATTGGTGCAAGCTTGTTAGGCACAATCTGCCACTGAGTTTTCCAAACTAGGCTGGAATTCTGAAGTCCTAACAATCAGGTTTTTATAACACATCTTGAGTCTGGCATAGGCTTAAACTCTACCTTCAGGTGTATATAACCTCCTTTAATTTTGTCAGATGTGTCAGATCTGTGTGTGGGTTAAACTGCTTGAATGAGAAACTGAACAGAAAGAAATTTCTGAGGTCTTTGTTCTGCAAAGTTCCTATAAATTCTGTCCAAGCCAACTGGTGCAATGTGAGTAATTGTGATGTATTCAGCTTACAGGAGGTGAATTCAAAAATCACAAATTTTCTGTCTGACTTGGCATTTGATGATCCATGGAGCATTTTTTTCATGACTGTCTTGTCTCCCTTGGGATATATCAAGGTAATTATTCACACCACTCTTAAGTGTCAGAGCACTGAAGGAAAAGTCTTAATTTTTTTTCCTCAGATTATCCATAAAATATAAGTTGATGGTGTTTTTGCAGGTGTCTGTCATTCCATAGGTACACATATGTTAGAAATGATTCTTCATCACACCCGTGTTTTCCTGTTTTTCATGTGATGTGAACTCATACTGAACAGCATATTTCTTGTGGCCACAATATCTTTATCTCTCTCTTGTTTGTAGAAAAGTTTTTTGCTCTGTGCAATATTGGGGAACTGTATTGTGATGCTTCTAATGTAGTCTTGCACTATAAATATCCCAAGCAATGGCAGTGATTTTCATTAAGATTGGTAAGGCTCTTTTATTTGTTTTTTTTCTCTTTTTCCAGTTTGTTTGCAGGTGAAAATAAATTGCACGTGTGTAAAACAGGATTTTAGTGGGTGTATATATTTACATGAGGACTTAATTTTTGGTTGAAGACCTATAACATTTTATGAGAATTTAAATTATAAGATTTTGGGGTAATATCAGAGAGGTAATAGCAGCTAAAGTACTTGCTATTTTAATAATGCCAACAATAAACATAGGAAGATATCCTGAATTTCTCTAGTAAAGAGAAATTAAAAGCCTTTTGTAGTGATTTTTCTGAACCAAGCACTATTTCGGGCTGATTTTGCTGAGGTGATTGCATTATCTGCATGCTAATCAGACTCAGTAGTTGTGCTGTTCTTTTAATTGTAACTAAACAAAACAAAGGACCCACTGGGAATTACAAAAAGGAAAAAACCCACATTGTTCACTCTGGTCTAAGTCATTGCTGATAAAAATTCAAAATCTGGCCGTGGGCTGATATTCAGGCCCTGTATACACAGAGTTAAAAGAATTCCTGCTGGTACGCCTGGCTGATTTTGAATTCTAATTTATACCAGAGGCAGTTTGGAGCACACTAATGAATGGATGCTGCCACCTGATGGCTTTCAGCAGGACTTGATTAGCTCTGGTAATAAGGGGGAGCTGTCAGGAAGGGTCAAAATCAAACCAGGCAGCAAGGAAAGGTTATCCCAGGACTCAGACAGGAATTTGGCTGAGCAGGGGAGGAGCGTTTACCCCTTGGCTGACCTGTGATGAGGTTGGGTGTGGAGGGAGAGGTGTCATCCTTGGGACATTCTGTCCCCTCAGTAACAGGGTCTGTTTTCAGAGTGTTCAATTGGTCACAGTCAATTCTTCCACCATCCAAGGATCGTGTTCCCTCTGTGCAAGGGCTTTGCTTTTGGCTCTAAGGGCTGGTGGGACCGGTCCCAGCAGGGGAGGGGTCAGTGCCTTGTTGTGTTCAGGTCCTGTGGCTCTTGAGAAATCTCTGGGGGCTGGCCACAGTGGGGTGAAAAAAAGGAAATAAATAATGAAGGGACTGGAAGATCTTGGTACTTCATGAATGTAATTATGTAAAGAAGAATGCTGACTACTAAAATATTTATGCATCATTAGTAATTGCAGTCCATTGTTTCAGTATTCTGTGTGGTATTTTGTTGGGTTCAAGGACAATGAAAACATTAAAATATATTCTTAAATAATTTAATTGTGTAGCTAGGGAGACAAAGGAGGAATTCTGTTTTAAATTTTGGGTTGATTTTTTTGTGCTTCTCCAGCAGTTGTATAGTCAGTTTTATTCTAACATAGTCTTTTTCTAAATTAATCCAGCATAAAATTGAGCTACAGTTAATTTCAGTATTTCAATGCCTGTATTTTAAATCGAATCATAATCATTAAGACACAATGAATTTTGTGT